TGTAGGATATACCAGGCACTGGCACTGAACCTTAAAAAAAACATCAGTGTAGGATATACCGGGCAAATGTATACTGGGCAGTGGCACTTAACTAGACCTAGTATGACTAGACCTTTGGTAAATGTCCGCAATATATATCCTAGGTCTAGTTAAGTGCCACTGCCTGGTATACATTTGCCCGGTATATCCTATACTGATGTTTTTTAAGGTTCAGTGCCACTGCCCAGTATACATTTGCCCGGTATATCATACATTGATATTTTTTAAGGTCAAGTGCCATTGCGAGGTATATATTTGCCCGATACTCCGAACACTGACATTTCCTCTAATCTATCGTCAGTAAGTATTAAAATATCAAATAAATGTAATTATATCCACGAATAAATTAATATCTAATCGGATGTAATAAATATTTCGGACATTCACCAAATGTGATTATTGACATTCACCGGTGAAAGTCGACATTCTCCAGATTTCGGTCATTCACAGTAACATGCGTTTCTCAAAAATAAAAATGTTATTCTGAAAAAATACTGAGAGAGCCATTAAAAAACATTTATCCCAAATGTGTAAAGAAAAAGAAAAAAATGTGCAAAACATAATTTATGCTTTTCTTATTAAAGGAAACAAAATTTTCACATCAAAAAAAAAATAACTTGTTGCAACATAGCAGGTTTGAATGACATTTTGAGTCACATTTCATTACATTACGAAACGAATCAGAGATGCATTTTATACTTTGCCGATTTCTCATTTGGAATTCTACAGAATGCCTAGGAAAAGTGTGAAATATAAATCGTTTCATACATTGCCTTGCTAGCTTTAGGAATTATATACAATGCCTAGGCATTCTATTGAATGCTGGATTTCAAACTTTGCCGGTAACATATATATATATACATGAAAAGTGATTACTCAAATTCGAAATTCATGCATCGTAATATCGTATAAACTTTTTTCTTTAAATCATGCGGAATTTCGTAGAAATAATCATTAAAAAGGCGATCGAGAAATGAAATAGACTTAAAATGGAGTCTGTGCAGATTATACGATTTAAAAAGGAAAGACTCAAATTTGCTAAATTTTTTATTTTTTAGGAAAAAAAAAGTTCAGTGTTCAGAAACTATCTTGTGGGTTATAGATTTTCCGCCCAATTTATGCTTAAAAAAAAAACATAGCTAGGAGTACAGAAATGTCTCCCAATAGTCTCCTTTTCCTGAAAATAGTTGCTTTTTTAGACTTTTCAGACAAAAAAAAGTTGCCATAGTCGCCTCATACCAAAAATAGTTGCATTTTAGTCGCCTGTGGCAACCCTGGATTATTATCTTTTGAGTTAGGAAACTATATGAAACTGAAAACTAAATTGAACATAGTTCTAAAAGAAATGGAAATTTATAAAAAGATTTGTAACAATTAAATGCCTTAGTACAGTAGAGAACCATTTATCCGGTATCCAGATAACCAGAAAACCGGAGGAAATGTTGCTCGGTTTTCCGGCCATTTTAAACTAGAACGATTATGAAAAAAAGCGGAAATTGGACTCATCCTTGAAGTTGAGTAGAGGAAAATGTAAGGAAGAGGAAATTTTTTCCCCTGTTTACCCAGAGAAACGTCATTTCTTCCGTGATCTTGAAGATCGAGAGGAGGCAGGCAGGGTTCGTTGATTTAAATCAGCTTGATTTAAATCACGATTTAAATCCTGATTTAAATCAAATGATTTTTTTAAAAAAATCATTGATTTAAATCAACTAATTTTTTTTATCCATATATATTGATTTCAAAAGTTAAAAAACAGTGTTTTAAATTTTTGATACTTTTATTATTTTCTTTTTTTAGTATTAAAATTTAATTTAAATAAATTGCTGCATTAATTAATTTTAGTTAACAAAATTACTTTCTTGGTGTGTGTTAAATTCCAACACATTTGAAATTATATTTTTAAAAATCTTTTGATTCTTGAGATTGAAAGTACAGATTAAAGTAAACATTTAATGCTGTCTTAATATAGACTTGCATAGCTGTAGAAAGTAATTAATAAACATGAATTTTTTTCAAAAAATAATACAAATAATGTTAATTAAAATTCTACCTTTTGAATGAAAAAGCGTGAATTAAAATCTACATCATATTTTATGGTGGAAAATGTATATTTCTGAAGTTTGAGATTATATTAAAAAGAAATTACCCTAATATGCCAAAAACAGAGGGGAAAAAAAAAGGGCTGATGAATTCAGGCGTTTTTTTTCCTAATATAGTGTCATTCTTCCCTTTTAAACTCTTTCGATGTTTATTTGATGCAGTAGGGTTATTAACTGGTATTTTTTTTTATCATAATATGTTAACAGTATCTTTGACATTATCTGATTTTCTATAAAGAAATTTTGTGAAAAAAAATTCCAATGAATACATAGATTTTCTAATTTTTTTTTTAGTTTAACTTATCTATTTTCATATAGAATTAAAAATGAATATTTTAATATAAAAATATATAGATTAAATGCTTATTTATTTTTTGATGAATGGCTACATTTATAAACACAGTCTGCTACATTTATTTTGTAATTTTAAAAATCAAGAGAAAAAAAAAGAAATCACAATTTTAAATTAAAGTTATGGTTTGCTAACTGAAACTTTGCTTTAATAGTTAAAGCACAGGGGTCTGTCCAAGCCGGTACTTTTACAAATTCAACTTTAGGAAAAATGATAGAATAGTCACACAAAATACTTTTTATTACAATTTTATTTTTTTGTCTCGTAAGAAACAATAAATCCATATTTTTACTATATTTGTGTTGATCTTTTAATATATATTTTAATTTTCACAAAATAGGTACCTCTCAGAAAAACCAAAACAAACGCCTGAAATATTCTTTAAATTCTCTATTTCATCTAGTCTTTTAAATTTTAATCATGCATATTTTTCAAAATGGTTGCTATGCATTCAAAGCCATGTATTATAATGCAAAATTATTTCAGTTAGAGCTTATAAAATATTGTTACAATATAGTTTTAATATTAAGTTAATTTGATTAAACATTTTTAATTTTTTTTTATCATAAATTAAAGTTCATACAGTGTATTTGAATAAAAATCAAAAAAATCTGATTTAAATCAAAAAAATCCGATTTAAATCAAAAAAATCTGATTCTTTTGATTTTTTTTAAAAAAAATCACGAACCCTGGAGGCAGGGAAGGGAGGAATGTTTTAATTTCTCCTTTAGGCCGTCAATCAAACTCAAGGGTGTGGCATGTTGATTTCGTTTTCAGTTTGATTTACAAGGGGGATGGGGAAAATACATTGCATGCATATCAGTGAACAGAAGATGAAAGAGAAAAATATATTCATCTATTTAACATCAATTAATAATCTTTTTCTTTTGAATGAATAAATTCTGATTCTTTGGGAGTACGATATCATTTGCAAGTTTTTCCTGATGTGGAATCACATCTGCTGTAATTAAAAATCGCTTTTTTATAAATAAAAAAATAAAAGGAGAATTGTTTATTAATTTAAACATAGGATTATTTTGATTGCAGTTTTGTTTTTCTGATTCCACTACGTTTGATTTTTTTTTCTTTTCACGATAAATTTCGCACTCAATAAATTAACTCTTTTTATTCATAAATTTTATCATTAGGTTTTTTTTTTAATACCGTTGATTTTGCCTTGTTCCGGGTTTTAATATTTATGCTAGTGCCTTTTTTAACTATCGTTTCGGTTCGATAATTTTCAAGTGTTTTTATTTAGATTAATAAGTTTTCCTATCGTTTCCCCTCGTATAATTAGGTATGAAATATGCTGCGTTATTTAATCATTGGTTTTGTTTATATTAGTTAATTATGACTTTTAATTATTTTTAAAAAATAAATATGAGAATTTTGTATTTTTTAAACTTGTTTTTCTTGTCTAAACTTGCACATTTTTTTATTCTTTTAAATGTTATTTTTCAAAAATTTTTTTCCTTTTTAAATTTAGGAATGCCTTTCTTTTTTCGGTTACTTTATGTGTTACACTTTTTCCTTGTAATTCGGGTTCGATAAAACATCGATTAACGACACTTTTTGGTCGATCCAGAAAACCGGGAAATTCAGACATCCGGGATAGCGATGGTCCCGAGCATCCCGGATAATTGGTTCTCTACTATTTAAAATAAGAGAAATTATTGTAGTAAATTCCTGTACAACTGAGGAGAAAGAAACAGGGAGGATCAAAATGACTGCAAGCCTTTAAAGCTATTGACTTGGCCCCAGAACTATCTCAAACAATAATAAAAAAATTTCAGAAAAGAAAGAAAGAAACGAAAAAATTATTTTTTTCTGTCTGAAAAATTTAAGGTTTACAGTACTTTCTCTCTTTTATGTACCTATAAGTGTCTACCACTAAATTGATTAGTATTCTAACACCTACATTTAATTTGATGAAATTACATTAATTAGATTAATTTTCAATAAATGCATTAAAGTCAGGAAATTGTTCCTATAAATGCATTGTACACTTTAATGACTACAGCTTTACATGACTTCCAATGGCCACCAACAAGGTTTTGAGCTAGTTTTTCCGGACCTTTTGAAAAAAAGATATTAATCACTGTTATTATCCTTAGAAACAATGCATATTTTTTTAATAAGTTGGCAATTTTCAATCTAAACAATTAATCTTTTGCATCTGAATAAAATTAAGAGATAAATAACTTTTGCCTTGAAACCCAACAACACTGCAGAATTTTTGCAACAAATCAGCAAGGAGTAACTAGTAGGTTGATCTTCTATAAAGAATGGAGTGTTATACATAAAAAAAATCTTTTATACACGGTTTAGGTAGAACAAAAGAAGACGCCTCAAATTTAATACAAAAATTCCTGATTAAAATAGTCAATTATATTTTTCAAAAGTTCATTTAATAAACACAAAAACAATACAAAATCAAGCCGAAATCCGCCTATTTCAACATTGTCAGTTACTACATACGAAAATGACATAACAAAAACGACAATTATTACTTGATTTTCAACAAAATCTTTCACTTGTTCTAAATCTCCATTTGTCAAACTCCACAAAAAATCGCTCATGATGAGTTTTATTAATGTTAAATACGATTTTCACGCCTAAAAAATTAAGCCCATTTGATGAGTAAAGGAAAATAAAAACAAAACTAACTTTGTTATCGTCACAGTTACGCATAATTTAAATTACGCTTTATTTTATTTTATTTTGTTGCTTATCAGCAAGTTTTATTTATACTACGGTTGATAAAGTGGGACCTCCCTGGCCGAGCGGTGTCAACCGCCTATCACTCTGTAAAGCGCAGAGGTAGCGGGTTCGACTCCCGCTGTAACCTTGGATGCATTCCTCATGATGTTCTTCTCTGTGTTGTACTATCTGTCCTACTTGACAAAGGTTGATAAACCTTAGTTAAGCACACCAGCCTACAAATGTATGTTGTACCAGCAAAACAATAAAAAACAATTGATAAAGCTTTTAAATTTGCACTGCGCAACTCTTGTCTTTGAGTGTCCATCTTAGCGGCCATTCTTACTGCTTTCAAAAATTACTTCAGCCGTGAGAAAACTCGCTAATCAAATTCTCGATCATTCGACTCCAAATTCGGATTCACTTTTCTCTACGCACGCAGTGACAATGGTTTTTTAGCGTTTTAATTTATTTTACTGAAAGGAAAATTGTCTTTCAGTTCTTCTTAAAAATTTGAAATTACGAAAGTGGGTAGAAACATGATGGAGATTGAGTAGAGGACCTAGGTTAGATTAGAGATAATGGGAGGTGGCAGCGGGCTACTAAGCCTAAGCCATCTGGGGAGCAGAAACTAACGCACTTCCTTCTTAGGACTCTCCACGCGCTACTAATGAAAGCATGCGAAGTGGGAGTTTTGCTCTACGCCACCTTAAAACTATTAAGATATTATTAGACATCCACAATCTTATTATTTTACAATATTTCTTTGGAATAATTAAAAATACATAATATTTGGTCACGTCTGGCTTTTGGATTTTCTATAACCATTGGTGATCGAAATGGGCTACAGGTGGCGCAGAGCAAAACTCTCAACCTATGGCAACACTTGGAAAATCATAGGGAAGGAAATACGTTAATCTGTGTCTTGATTTTTAAACAGATTAAAATAACCTTTAAGTTATGAAACTATGTGGAACTAAAAACTGCATTGAACATATTTCTGAAAAAAAGCCTCGTGGAAATTATTAAAAAAAATTTGACAGTTAAATATGAAATATAATAAGAAAGGGGGGGAATCGAAGTACATTCCTATACACTGAGAAGAGATCACGAATTCGTGATCACCACGCTTGAAATTGAATTTATACCCAAGTTTCTAACAATGAAGCAATTGATGATTTCTCGTATTCTTACTAACGAACATATATTTCAAATCACTTTTGTTTCTTCTCATTCATGTATCAAAATATTGATAGCCATTTCTACGGCAAAACGTACATCAATCTTGAACTTTCGAAGCAGCTTAGTGGTATCACCATCTTCAGCGACTGCAGGTCTGCCTTACAGGCCCTCAGCAAAGGTACCTCAAGCCTAATCCTGTATATCATAAAACGATTTGGACAACTTCAGCGTTTCCGGAAAAAATGCTTCTTGCAGTGGATTCCCGCCCATGTGAACCTAGAGTTCAATGAAATAGCTGATTCCTTGGCAAAAAATGCCAGAGATCTCAATCAAAATACAATCTCAACCACATTGGCAGATGCAAATGCTTTTACAAAGTCAAGACTATTCACCCCTTTAAAAATCAAAGCCCACGATCAAATAACTAATCTTGACATCGATAGGAAGACAGCCACTACTCCCATCAGACTAAGAACAAAACATCATAAAAACATGAAAATTCTACAGATGGGACTAGAAAATATCAAAACNTCGCATCGCATAAAAAAAGAGATTATAAATATTTTAGGAAGGGCGCCAGTGCGAGATTTGCCATAGGCGCTTCCTTCCATAGATACGCCTCTGGACACCATATCTTGTTTTTAACTGCCCTGCAATCGCTGCAGGCCTTCACCTCTTAAACTACCCCACAGAAGAGGATTTGTATTCATTTAATGCCATAGAAATAACAAAGACTATTCAAGCACACCATGAAATATGATTCAATAGAGGATACGACACCAACCAACCATGTATCAAAATCTTACAAATAGGTGCCTGTTTTTGAGGGCTCAAAACATGTCGACTGTTATTTATATATTTTTGAAGCGAACAAAGTTTTTAAGCAGGTAACATTAATAATGTATCATAAAAAGAATAAAGATAGAAACAATCTAACTCCGTATGCCCCCACACCAATTAGAAACTTTAACGTAATTAGATTAACTTAATTAAAGAGATAAAAGAATTAAAGTCAGGGGTACAAACTGCTTGCTTTACCACAGAGATAACTAATTTTCCATGTTATTTTCTGTTTGTGTGGAAGCTAGAAACTTGGAGACAGGGGTAACAGTTCAGACATTGCCTGGTTTGGATCGAAATATCGTGGCATTCCGATCATGAGAGAGTTCCGAAAAACAGGTTCATGATCTTTGGGGTGGAGTGAGGTTCATTGTCATGCAATGTTATTTAATGGATACACAGATACTGATAATAAAATATTTGTACAAATTCCTTCAAGCGTGTTGACAGTTATAGTGTTAAACATAAAATAGAAATACAGATAAATTAATATTGATTAAGCTTTATTCTTTATATAAAAGGGCAAAACAAATTTTTCCAGTACACTACAAACAAAATAAGCTTTTTTATTATAAATAATTAAACTTAACATATTAGAACTAAATATAAGTATCACAAATGTCCCAATAAAATAGGTTAACAAATAATACTATAAAAAAGCACAATTAACACATTTTTTCTGATTTAATCAAAAAAGAAATCAAATATTTTAGTAGAAGGAAAAAATTTTATTTTGTGGTTCAATGATTATAATAATTACGCTATTTTAGTGTTGAAAGAATATTTCAATGAATCAATTGATGCATAAAATTACGTTTTAGCTGAATAGAAGAATCCTGACATAATAAAAGAAAGCTGACTGTAAATTACAAATCAGTATGGTTAATTTAAACCAAAAACCAACTGAGAAATTTAAGATTCAATAAAAAAATTGTTCAAAAATGTTACTTGTTCTTATTGAAAAAAGAACAAAAGAAACTAAATGAAATTTTAAAAAAGCACTTCGAAAATAATTTTTTGTACATGTGAAACCTATATCTGAATCACTATATTTGTAGAATGAAATTAATGACATAATCTATTTCCAATTTTTCAAAATAATAAAGGACAGAATAGTGATTGCTGAATTGGAACTTTAAATTGAGATTTAATTTATTTAATTCATACTCAAACTTGAAGTTTCCTTAGCTTTTAATTCCATTAATCAAATTTTAAGCAAACAAGTATAAATCTATTTCAGACAAGGACTTTACTATTGGCAGACAGAACGGACCTGTGTCACTTTAATAATTTTATTTTTATGAAAATTAAGTTTATTAATTATGCAAAGCTTAGCAGCTATTTAATTATGCAACGAGATAATTACAATTATATTTATAAAATAGACTTTGTTCTGTATTATAAATAACAGATAGGACTTTAACGTTACACAAGAATAAAAAAGAACCGTGTTTGTATCCTCAACTAGATGTATTGCAGCTGGAATTCGTTCATAGTTATTCTAGTCCAACTCAACAAAATTAGAAATCTTTTAACTTAAACTAGAAGCGCCTTGTAGTGTGTCTGAATAGAAAACATTCAACAAAGAACAAAGCTCTGACCAGTGAGGTCATGTTAGTTAAGTAATGTCTTAAATACTGTAATGTTTACTGTTACTGTTTTCCACCCCATAATTGGGCTAATTCATAACTTAATATTAAAAATAATAAATTCTATGCTACAACTACTTTTTATTTAAAAAAAAACTAAGATCATGCATATAATGCTTATAGGAATATATTTAGGTAATATTGAGTACGTTTTTAAAAAATATGTTTTAAAATATCATGTTAAAGTTTAAATTTTGTAAATAAGTTTAATGTGTGCTTTTAGTGCAACTTTTAAAAGTTTAAAAAAAAAATTCTATTCATATGAATTAACTTTTCAAACCACTGGATTTGGATTTTGTTGTAATAGTCAATCTAAGAATCTTATTTTTTCCTTTATAGAAATACTTTATAATACTTTCACAAATATGCATGGCAAAAAGATATATTACTTTTAACAATTTTCTTTAATGAAATAATTTTTTGTAAATCTTACACACATTATATATTAAGACTGCTAATTTTTATGTTGATAAATCAAGAGACATCATACCAATCAAATAATAATATTTCTTTTTTTTTTCAGAAGAGATCTTTTAGTGTATCATACAGCCTGTTAATACTGATAGTTGCAATTTTCAAAAGAACATATAGAACTCTTTGTGACTAACCCCATTAATTATCAATTTAAGAAAATATAATAGTACAAGTAACTTTAGAAAGCCAAGGTTTTCTACAGTTAAGTGCGGATGACACGGAGCATTTTTTATAGATTTTTTTAAAGGTTTTAAACACGTGAAATTTTCAACTGAAAAAAAACTCGTCTTTCAATAATAAAAATATGTTATTCTACTCTACTGATTGCCACACATACTTTGAAATAAAAAAAATCATAAATAGTATATGATTAATTTTTCTAAAAAAAAAAAAGAATTTTGAAAAATGCCAATTTATAATAATATAGCAAAATTTCTAAAATACAATCGGGTAAAAATTGTGTACATTTTATTGAATCTTCAATGGTAACACAAACATTTCTATAAATTAAGTAAATTACAGAAATGTTGTCATAGCTACATTTATTCAACTTACAACATATTTGTGAATTTCATTTCATGCTACAATACATAGAAAAGCAAAAAAATTACTGAATGCAATGTTCAGAAACAAAAAAAAAAATATGAATTATTTAAGTTTTCATAATAAGAATTTATAAACTACTTTGTAATTAATGCATGTAATTTTTAGGCAATAAAATTTTTCATGAAGCAAAATTTGTTTATATTATTTTAATATTTAAACAAATTTGTATTTCTGAATAAATAAAAAGTTTTTAATTTTCTGTGTGTGTGCGAGTTATGAAGTTATCAGCAGATGGCTGTAAATATCAAAAGTGGAAAAATAGCTTCTAATAAACACTTAATAAAAAAATTAATAAAGTTAATGGGAAGTATACATCTTGCAAAAATATAAAGGGTAAAAATAATTTTTTTAACTATCAAAATAGTTAATATTTTTATTATTAAGTTAATAAAACTAAATGCAAATAATACAAAATTAATAACAATTTAAGTAATTAAGTCGCATAGTTTTATTAATAAATGAAAACATGTTTAAGGAAATGAAAATGCAATATTTGAAATTTTCAGTTCATATCTAAAATTTAAAAAAATGACATTTAAAAATATATATATATTTAGACTTCTGTTTATTCATTTAGTTATTTATAAATACAATATCCCAGTTACACACATAAAGTTAAAAATTATGTATACAAATTAAATGCATAAAAAATATCACAGAGAAACATAAATAAAACAAATGAATACAATATAAATAAGTTATAATCAAATAAACAACTCAACTTTGATAAAAAAAAAAAAACTGTAAGACTGTAAAACTGTAAACTTGAGATTAAAATAGAAAAAATAAATACATTTCTCTTTAACAGTATTACAATATAAGAGTTAACTTGTTTAGATCTACCTTATTTAGATTTAAATTTAGATATGTCTTTCAAATAAATAAATTGAAACCAGATCTTCTCCCATGCATTGAGACCATAGGATAAAAAAAAATTTTTGTTAATACTAATGGAATGAAGTTTTTATAGAAGTTATGTAGTTTTAATTTTCAAATACTTAGATCATCAAACTTATGACATCTGCTATATATTTTTAGCATGTTTCTGAGGAAAAAATCGTGAATTTATTTTGATACAATTAGTGTATTAAAAAAAATTTTATGTTCTAAAAATTCATGACCTCAATAACATACACTGAGTGTATTAGTTTTCACAAATTGCATGTGTTGAGATAAAAGAAAATGTATTTAAAGGTAGCAAAAAACAATTTTAATTTTGTTATTCTGTCAATACGTCTTTACTTAGAACATTAAAAGCTATTAAATGAAAATAAAATGTTATTAAGAAAGAACAAACTATTAAAAATAAGGGGGGAATAAGAACCTTGTATTGTATCAATTTGTATCTTTAAAATTTTTATAGTGAAAAACTTTTTTGGTTTCCATAAAATGAAAAATATATATTTTTAATATGTAAATAATTGCTTAATATACACAAATGGTTCAAAATATTTTTAAAAAAAAGAATTAATAAAAATGTCCAAGATAAACAAACTTACAAAATATATGCTTTGAGAAGTTTCTTAAAAAAAAATAAGTTAAAAATCAGAACAAATTATATTAGAAGAAAATGGGAGAAATTTTGTTTCTATAGTTAAAATGAAAGAAAAAAAATTCTAATTATTATATACTTTTATAATTTGACACTTTAGTATTTTTATGTGATAAATTCAAAACTTTAATATAATTACTTTTAATGAGCATATTTAAATGTGAAAGAGCTATTTGTTTTTATTTAAAATTATTATAACTCTTTTTGTCAAACTGTTGTCATTTTACAATAAGCTCATTGTATATTGAAAACGTAACGTTTTATTTAAACCAATAAGTATGCCATATATGCATATCATAAATATGCAATTTATAAGTTTATGAAAAAAGTACCAGCTAACTAAGAACTTTTTGGATAAGGTAAAAATGATGAATAAACATAAGTATATTCAATTCAGTCGAAGAGGATTTGTCTAAACTAGGCAATTAGCACCAATTTCTATAAACAATAAAACTTAAAGCTAATATTTTCCAGTGAAAAATAAAGACGAAAAGTTTTTAATGTAAAACAAACTTTGTGACTAGAAAAAACTAGTAGTGTATTAAAAATAGGAACACAATTTATCATTTATGAAACTGAAAACGTAACAATGACTTTTTTATGGTTTTAATTTTCTAAGCATTTACATTAAAACAAACTAGATTAACAATAAATGTTTTGACAAATTTAGGAAATACCGTTACAAAGCATTGATTATTTCTACAATATGTATTACCTATTTTGTAATGGGAATATACATACAAATAAAAAGGAAACTTTTCCAAGCCTAAAATTTATCATTGAAAATTAATTAACAAAGAAAACATATTAAATGCTGTTACTGAAGTTAACAATACATGATACATGAATGAGGAAAAAAAATTATAAACATGAAGATATTTTTCGAAAACATTTTATGACGAATTATTAAAAAAATCTCAATAAAAAGTTCTCAGTAAGCAAAATATTAGATGTTTAGCATTTTATGAATTTATACTTAGTTTAAGAAAAATTAAAAATAAGGAATTAAATTTAAATATTTCATTAAAATTGTACATCATAAAGCATCAAAATAATTCCTATTTCTTAAGTGCATATTTTGACTATTCTGAATGTATATTTAACTCAGCTGTTACTAATTAATGAATTCTAACTTGCCAGTTTTCGTTGTTAGAACATATTACTATATTTAAACTTAAAAAAAAAAAAAAAAGGATTTATAAAAATCACGGTAATTGANCGTGGAAGTTCAGTAATTGAAAAAAAAAAAAAAAAACAAGAACATATGTTACTTAGTTACTAAAATAAGAAATGTTTACATTCATGCAAAAAAGAGTGAATAAATATTAAGTAGATTTTATAATATATAACTATATAAAAATAGGTAACAACTAGTATATACATCTACAACATGTTTTGTAGAATAATAAATCTGAACATTAAAATTGTCAAAATCAATTCATAAAACTGTGCCTAACATAATATATTGTAACAGAATATATAACAAAAATTTTTTTGCTAGACTATGAACTTGAAAGAAAAAAAGGTAAAATATGATAACTGAAAATATTTATATTTAGGTTTCAACCATAATGTTAAGAAGAATAAGTAATGGAAATAATATTATCTTATGTATTCAGAAAAAAATATAATATGCAGTTATTTGTAAATGCTCACCATAAAATATTTTGTTTAAATGCATTATACATAGTCACAACGCTTTAGGCTTGGCATTAATAATGCAGAAATAGTGATCCTTTTAAATTTACAAACAAAGAAATTAATGTACATAGCAGTTATTCTGTATATGTAAGCTTTCACTACATTTTAATAAAATCAATCCGCAAAAAACAATTCCACGAAGTTACTTGTATTTCATAGATTGAGAAAATATAATGAATAAAGAATGCTAGACAGGATTGTTTCCAATCTATATTTTTAAAGTGCATCTGAATGCATATTTGATACAGAATTTAAGCAGCTTGTGTGTATGCTGAAGAGTTACGCTACACAAATATATACAGTAGTTCCTCATTGCAAGAGAAACTCTCTCTGTGTAGGACTTATTTGAGCTATCTTGCTAGATTTATTTCTTTCCAGAACCTCCCTGAAAAAAAAAAGATGAGCAGTTGAAAATAATGAGTAATATAAAAGAACAGAAAAATAAAGTTTAACAAGAAAACCAAAAGAAGCATATTTTTGTTACGCAAAATATATCATACAGAGAAAAGTATTGCTGCAATAGAAACAGGGAGGTCATGTAGGGTAAAGCTCCACAATTTATGGACAGCATAATTGTGGCAATGTGCATAAGCTGCCTTTATTTCCAATATAAGCTGGTACCCATTAATCAGAAGCTGGGTGGGCTTCAAGCCATCACTGGGAATCAAACCCCAGTTTTTCAAAACGAGAGCTCAGTGCATTTAATTGCTGTCCACATTTAATAAAACATACAAAAAATTAATAAATGTTAACTCATAAACTTGGTTCTCTATTTCATATTTATTACTCCAAAACAAAAATAACTACTTTGCTTTAACTGCAAAAAGCAAAAAATAATAATAATTTTAAATATAACATTAAAATAAAAGAAATAAGCTGATATTTAAAATTTCAAACATTTGGAACTGCATATATATGTAATCTGGTTCAAGGCTCTTGATTTAAATGTATTTCCAAACGCTGACAGATGCTTTCAAAGATGATACTTCGTCTCATTCTTAAGTTTTAAGATGGCACAAAGCATTTAAAAATGATTTAAGAATGCTTAGAAACTGAGGAACTTTTCATTCAGCTGTCAATAATAAAAATAATTTTTAAAAGAACACATGCAAAGGTTGCTTAGAACTCTGACAAAAGGGAAAGTGGGACATCATAATTACTGAAGAGATAAGAAACAAGCCCAGATATTGTTGACTGATGGCAGCTTCATCAGGACAATCACAATAATACATTATTAGTGAAGGATTTTCTTGATCTCTAGCACAGTTCTTATTTGTTGCCAAGGAATTTTGAAAGGTCAACACTTTGAGACCGATTTCTGAGATTCAAACCACTGTGATGTGAGTCTTAAAGGATAATACATTTGATGATTTTAAACAGAAGTATTACCACTGAAACCCATGTATGGATGCTCCAGGTGTTTATTTAGAAAACTATTAAGTATATTTTCCAAATATTCCAGAAATCTATTTTTTTTTAAACTAGAATATTATTATTTTGGGGACAGACCCTGATCCGTAATGACCACCATCAATAAATATGTTTAAAAATTAGGCAAAAAAAAGGATGCACATTAGGGATCGCCTATTAATATTTAAGGAAGTAGAAAAAGTACTGCTAAAGCACTCAAAAAGGGAAAATAAATTTAAAATGACAAAACCAATTTAATTGTCATTATAAATGTAACAAATTAAATCAAAACAAAATAAAACTATTTTTATTGTTATAAAAATAGTTTTCAGTCTAATAAATAACAAAGATACATTTTTATGAAAGAAAAATTTTAACAAAATCTAAAGCTAGATTCAAAGAATTGAGAAATACTATTTATAAAATATTAATGTAATGATATAAAATTCATTCCCTTATATTGTTTTGAAATTTAATATAAATTTATCTTACTCTTTTTCGAGACTTCTTTCGTTTTTCTGATTTGCTTGGTAGAATATTTGACTGTAAGGAAAATTTTAAAAGTATACAATACCATACATAAATTAGTTGATGTACAAAATAAAGGAATTAACTTTCAATAGTAGAAGATAATAATAAATTTCTTTTAATATAACTCTTAATAAGTGTTATTATCTTACAACAATAATGAATATAAGCTTTACAACTTGATCAACACATCACAAAAAATATATATAAATAACTTTTAAAATAAAAATTAAATAAAACTTACTTCTGAAGACTCTAGTAGGTTGTTTTCACCTATTGGACAGGTAGAAGGCTTTGCAACCACATCCTATTAAAAAAAATTATTTTGGTATGAAACAAGTTTATAAAAAATAAGTTTAAATAAATCTGCTTAAACTCATATATGCTTCGTGACTCTTTTTATAGATAGTTTTAAAAAGGCATCATATGCTTAATGGAATTATCTTTTGACATATATTCTTTTTCTAAAGTTTAATTCAAAGTTAGTTTTTAAAAAGTATTGTATTTGTTAAACTCATTTATCTACATTCAGCTGCTAACATTAACAAAATACTCAGTTAAACATAACAAAAATATTTGAATCTCATATAATTTTAGATTCTTAATTTTTTTTTCTCTTGTTTCAAAATTTATGGATCTGTCAACATTTTTAAGAATTATTAAAAATTTTCAGTGCAACAACAACAGAATCAAACAAGTTGTAATAAAAACTCTACACTGCAAAAACTGTACATATGCACAAAGAATAACTATGAATTTGAAATTATTGGAGGCACATAAGTCACTTCAAAACAAAAATTACTTACAATCATTTGGATTTTTTCTTGCAGAATTTTTTTATCAGCTTCTTCTTTATGCAGTTTAAGTTTAAGGTCTTCTATTTCACACAATGACTATAAAACAAAATATTTACTTACAAAATAATATATCTTGATAAATATATTTTGGAAAACCACATGCTTATGATAAAATAGCTGTATTAGATATTTAGCAATACATAAATTTAAACAAACATGAGAATGAACTTTATGTATAATAGTTTTTCGACTATTTGATATTGGTTGAGATTTTATCAGTTTTATTATTATTTCATTATTATATTTAATATATCTGAAAACTATATTGTATTAATTAATGATATATGGTACAATAGAACATTATTTTTTCATAATATTTCAATAAGGTTATCATACCAAGCACTTAGAACCATTTTTCAGGGCTCTATCTTTTAAGTCATTTTAGTTAGCTTTTCCCCCTCAAAAATTTTGATTTATTTTTTATTCATCTCCATAAAAAAATCACAATTCAAAAGGGACAAGTCGTCAGCTTCTCTAAGGTAAGTGGGCCCCTTGAATTTACCATCAAAGAAGCTAAAAAAAGAGTCAATTCATTGCTGAATGCAGGTCAGTCACAACCAATAAGAAATATTCTCTTTTCTGCTATCCAAGTAATAACAATAATGGATATGTTTAAAAATATTTAAAAGTAATATCAAATATTACTATTTAAATGAGACAAATACAATAAGTAAATATATTAAAATAAAATGAAATACTTAACACTACCAGAAATAGTGGCCAATTGACTTGAATTACACAGTTTTCAAGATTTATTGTTTTTGAATTTTTTTTAAAACAACAGCACCTATCATCAAGCAATCAGTAAATAATGCAATTTTTCTTCTTAACTAAAGAGTCTGACTCAAGAGTATTCTTTTACGTCAAGAAAGTGCAAGCATATGCTTTGATTTTGTTACACTATTCAATAAATAAAAAGTAAGTTAGTTTGAAAGACATTAAAATTTCTTGAAAAAATAAAAAATACAAACCTCTTTTAAGTCTTGAAGCTGCTCTAAGCTTAGTCGCAATTTGTTATTTTCTAATTTAAGACAATCATTTTCGTTTTTAATCTGTAATAAATATTAAATGAAACATAATTAAAGTTTAAAAAAAAGATTAAATACAAATTTCAGAGTTAAAAAGAATGAACATATATTGTGGAAGTCGGTTCATTCTTTACTAATAGTTGAGAAAAAAAGGTAAATAAAAGAAAGAAAACAATATATGAAAAGGGAAAGAGAAAAAATCAAAATCTGATGAATCATCCTTATAGACACTCAAAGTAAAGATCAATTTTATCTATCAAAGGTACTTTATTTGTTAGATGAAATAAAATAACAGAGTCATTAACTTGTTAGTTATTCATTAATATTAATTAAGAAGTTTGGGAATAAATTATTGTCCATGATAGGCTATAGTTTTTAAATTTGATTCAATTGTTTTAAATTAAACAGTATTAATAAGCTATATTTGAATTATGGAGTTCTACAGATGAATATTCATATATTATCCAAATATGACAATTAATTCACTTTTCACAAAAATTCTAAAAATGTATGTCAAGACATATATTATTAAATGAACATCACACATAAGTAAAACTCAATATTTATACGGATATTATAGTCTGCCTAAAATTGCGATTGTGTACAAACCAGATTACTTTCTGGTACAACAAATGGGTTTTATTTATAGCAATGAATAAAAACATCATCAAACTATGGTAACAGAGATAAAATTAATTTCATTTTGCAATTTATAAATTAATTGAGAGCAGACTAAAATTATGACTAACTTGTCAAACTATTCATAGTTGTTAACCCTTTGCCAACGGCGGGCACAGCATATGTTCCGCTCAAAAAAACTTGCCCTTACAACGGCGTTGGCTCAACAGTTGTGCCGGTTGTTTCTTTCCCCTGAACTTTTTTGACCACCCATTAACCTGTCATTTCATCACACTCCTCTTTCAAAAGACCCTTTTGTTGGAAAAGGAGCTATGAGTATATCAGAGTCTTCCTTGACTTGGCTGAAAGATATTTAGGTTTTTTTCTATTATTTGGCAAATTTTGAGTGCTTATAAACTTTTCATTGTCTTTATGATAGCTGTGCTATTATTTCATTACTTATTTTCATTTGAGATCTATTTCATAAAACTATTTAATATTTTATTTTTTATTGTTTTTATTTATTTTGTTTTATTTTAGATTCATAGTCCTTTCTTTATATTATTATTCCCCATTTGTGTTTAGAGCTTTATGAAATTTTCAATTATATTTTAGTGAAGAAAAAAAAAATTTTCCATACTAAATATATTATACAAAATTTCATACAAAAATATTTTATTTTAGAGCTAAAAAATTTAAAAATAAAATTTAAAAAATAATAACTAAGTAAGTTTTTGTATAGTTAAAATGAGTTTCTTTTAAGATCCAAATAATTTTTAAAAAAAAAATGTATTTAGCTTCTCATGGCAAAAAAAAAGTAAAAAAACACAAATTTCTCTTAATAAACTAAATTGCGCTTTTTCTGATCTAAAGGGGAAAAAAAAATTTTTAAGAAATTATTATTAAAGAAAATTAAGAATCGGGCGGCCAAAACTGAATCTAACCTTCTTTTTCAAATGCAGATTGTTTTTGAACTTGTTCAAGAAATAATTAGTGGAAGAATTTAAAATCCTATTATTATTATTATCCCTTTTTTTATATACTGCCAGGAGGAGACTTGATTAATTTCTTTTTCTACCACTTATCCATCTTTAGGCAAAGAAATGACTCAGGAAAAAGCTATTCAAATTCATTTTAAGTAACTATATATAAACTCAAACATAAATATGATTATGAGTTTATTTTATTAGAAGAACTTCAGAAAATTAAAGGAATTCCTAATAAAAAAGAGTGAAAGAACAAGTATAAGTTCTTAATGGTGTATTGAAGGGGAACAGATATAGTTATAAATAACTAAAGATCGATGAATACTTAAAATGCTTGAATTCTCCTTTTAAAAATTAACAATTCTCAAATTTTGTCAGGTATGATGCACTTTAAAATTACGCAGAATCCTTCATGTTTCAAAATAGAAACGATAACGCACCAGACGAGACTTTGGAGGTCTGGAAAATTGAGTTCTATATAGATTTTTACTTCACAAGACCACCTTAAATGATAATGGTTGTAAAGTGAATAGAGTTGCTGTTGTAGATAAAAAAAAAAAAGCGGCTCAATAAAAAGGATTGCAGTCTAAAGATAAAATCATTCAAACTGTGCCTATTCTCGGTAGTTGTCATGTGTTTGGAAGGCAGAAAAGTTATTATGTGAACATCTATAGGATTGTTTTTAATATGTGACCTTGAACAAGTTTATTCTCAATGAAATAATCTCCATTTCTCAAAATGCCACCCACATGATAAACTATTGAACTACATACTGCCCCCGCTCTATTCTCTGAGAAACCTGTTTTTCGTTCTAAGTTTCCAGGAAATATTTCTATCTATGCCTTCACAGCTTGCCATAATGTAATTTACTTCTCACAAAATAAATCGTTTCCCTTATTTAGAAAAAGACATGACATCGAAACCATTTCAACCTTTCAGTATTGCCTCTTTCACAGGCAAAATGACATTTTCTGCCTCTTTGTTTATCTTCAGAAATATTGATAATATATTTCGGGGTCTGTCATTTTTAAAATCTTTAACAATAGCTAATTCCCGATACCTGAGGAAAGGACCACACAATTACCAAAGTAAATGCATGTTTTGCATTCAGTATGTCAATCAAGCTTGTATGGATGTGTCTGATAGATGACTTGAAACTTTTTATTTTTAATGCATTAGTTGCAAAAGATTTCAGATCAACAGATACTTTCTTTTGAACTGAACTTTGCAGCTTTCAACAGAAATAAAAATAAGTAAAACTTTTAATTATATTTAAAGAAATTATCCAATCTTAGAATAAACATTATCAAATCTTAGCAATGTAATATTGGATACAATGAAACATCTAGCATACAATACCTACCGTTATTTAAATTTTAAACATATCAAATGCTCGAGAATTTTGTTTTGAATTTCTTTTATTTTTTAAATTTATTTTATTATTTTTTAATGTGACATAAAATTTGTAGACAAATAGGCGCACGAATTTTTGTTACGAAAAATAACAAGTTCATTTTCTATTAGAGAAAAAATAAAGACAAAATTTATTAGAATTATGTACATGGAAACTGTCACATGCACGTAATCTCATAAGTATTAGCTACACTATACTTATCTATAAGTCACCAGTATTTTTTATTAAAAAAAGGAAAAAAACTGAATATTTTAATTATTAAGTGTAAGAATGAAAAATAAATAATGTAGTTAAATGAATAAATGATAAGTTCTACATACGAAATATTATTGCAGAAACAACCCGTTTATTAAAAGGGATTAAATAATTAATATTAAACTTATTCAATTTTGTCCAAGAAACAATACTCCAAAATTAATTTTATGTAATAAAAATATTAATGATTTAAACATAATTTTTTATCTCTTATGATATTTGTTTTAAATTTTATAAGAGTGTACTTTATGCAATCTTAAAGGAGATAAACAAGTAAAATAGTTAAAGAAAATCTGAATAACAAAATTTGCATTTGGTATCACTTTTTAAACCGATAAATTAAATAAACTTTCAAAATATAAAAAAAAATTATGCCTTTAACTGTTTTATTCACATCTCATTTCAAAAAGTTTTGAAAGCTTCTTTTTTTAACAATATCTAATAGGATAAATTTGTTTACAACTTTAAGACAAGAATAAAACTTCAAACAAGGTACTATTTATCGAAGTAATGTGTTTCTTTTGTAGCGGTCTATTTATAATCCTTCAAGAATCAAGAACATCAATATACACGTTTTAAAAAAATAAAAATTTTAAATAATTTGTAAAATATTTGCTTCTTTTTTAGAGAAATAGTTAATATACTTAGGAAAAAAATATCTATAAATGTTTCTTTTGTAGATCATTTCTTCAAGAATCAAGATCACTAATATACACCCTGTTTTTAAATAATGAAAATTTTAAATAATTTATATAAAAAAAACTTGCTTGTCTTTTAGAGAAATTGTTAATATATTCAGAAAATTTTTTTTAAAAATTATGTTAAATGATGTCTACATTAGAAAAAAAAGTAAGCCAAAATATGTATAACTATGCCAAAAATAACTACTGTTCTACAACCCTGCTTCTTCTCCCTCCAAGAAATGTGAGGTACAAATTGCAACAAAATATTTCCTATTTATAACTGGTTCAAGTAGTTACGCCCCACTGAGTAAGTGGGGGGATGAATTTCGGTAAGAAAGCGCCGTGGTAAGAGGAGAATTTTTTTCATCTTTGTTGCCGTAACCAAAAGGTTAAATTATCAAAAGTGGAGATCCAAAAATAATTTAGCAAAGAAAAAAGAAATCAAAGCAAGAGTTCAAACACACGTTATACTAAAAATTCTAAATTCAAGGAAAACACTGCAGTCAAAATAAACTCTTACTTACAGTTTCTAATATTTGATCTTTAAAACTGAGATCAGTTTTCCATTTCTTTTCTTCTGATTCAATGTGGTCTTGAAGAGATTTCAGAACACTTTCCTTTAAAGAAAGAAAATGTGACAATTTAAAAAATTTGAATTTAAAATAATGAGTACAAAAAATTAATACATAAAAAATGCACATTGAGTACAAATATAAGAGAAATTAATGGTAATGAATGTAAAGATATCTTTGATTCACATAAAATTTAAATATATAAAAAACGAAACAAATCTTTTATATATCAAGTATACAAGACTTTTAATTAATTTCTACTCATAAAATTTGTAAACTTTCATTAAATTTCTGAATAAAATTAATAGAGCGAAGTTACAAAATTTGGTCCATGGATTAATTTTGGAATTCCTATTTAGCTACTTATGAAGTATTTGTGTTCTATAATAATTTTTATATATTGTGCCACCACTAAATGTATTGTATTAGGTACTTAAATGTTGTAAATGAATGTATATGCTAATATACATGTTATATGCACTATATGTTTAGATGCATGGCCTATTAAAATATGCAGTATCTGAAAACTAATATAATCTATAGAAACAACAACAACAAAAAACACCAGAAACAGACAATGTATAACTGCCAACATGAAGAGAAAAAAATAAGGTAGATTTTATGAAATTCAATAACTTTTATGCCCTATTGCACAGTATTTGAAATGTTTAAGACTGAGGAAATTTCAGGAATTTTTAAAATCTGCATTGCACTAATAGTAATAAATTTCAAAACGACCGCAATATTTTCAATCCAAGACATTAAATTGTTTAGATAAAAAATACATTAACATTAAGCACATTAGAATAAAAGAAATTATTTTATTATGTTTCCTATATCTAACAATAGCTGTAACACATTATATCTTATTTTTTAATAAATTTAAAAAAAAGTTCTTAGCAAAAAAGTGAAAATTTTAGAATATTTAAAAAAGAAAAGATGAGTGACTGGATAAACTGAATACTACAAATAACTTCATAGTTTGGCCTTCATAATTTGGCAATATTATTTATTTAAATAACAAAGTAAACAATAAACTGACTTTCCAAGGATTGAGTCCTTGGGTAAAATTATACTGAAATTCCCTTGCTATGCACCACTTTCTCATTAAAGAAAATAAGGGTAATTTTTTTTTTTTTTTTTTTTTTTTTTTTTTTTCAATGCTGGATAACCTGCTACAGAAAGCTCAGAAAAACCCAGGACAAATACTCAGGGGGTAAAACCCAAAGACCAATAAAACAACTTCCTTTTTTGCATTTTAATTTAAAGACAAATACTTAAATTTATTCTTAGCAACTTTATATTTCGATTAAATACATATAAAATAGCTATATATTGAGCTAATATATTTGGCCTTTATAAATGCAAAAAATAGAAAATATTTACTAATTATCATTAGATTTGATGGATATGATATAATATTTTAAATAAAATAGAAAATTGTGGGAAAAATTGTTTAAAATAGTTGGCTTAACTTTTGTAATAATTAAAATAAGGTACAGTTTTTTTTTTCATTTAACCAATATTTCATTTTATATATTAAATGGTTTAAATCATATTGACTGAAAATGAAAAAACTACAGTTTCTTAGCAAAACAACAACAACACTGCTGAATTAAGATGACAGAAAAATAGTAGGTAGAACATTTTTTAAATTAAACTTTATAACCTGTACTGCACTTTACAGCAGATATTTCTCTATATAAGTAAGATTGACAATAAATTATGAATTATATACCACTCTAAGTGAAAATTATTTACTAAATAAACATAAAAAGAAAATCCTGAGATTTCCAATGTTTAAATAAATTTCAAAGAACTGATTGCAAAATGTATAGTTTTGAGTCATTTAATTTGAAGAAAATTTTTTAGAATTTTAAGTTGATAATAAGTTATAAAAATTTAAATCTAATACTTCATTATTATTATTAGAAAAATAAAAACTAGGAAAGTAAAAAAGCTATTTCACATAGCAAATATATTAAGTTTACTGCATACATACAAATATTGTTTGGACGGAAACTCATTATTATCTAAATCAAATACAAAACTAGACATAAATGAAAACTGAAATAACACTGATTGATTCAAGCTTTACCGTTTCAAATAAGACATTTTCATACACAGCTATTCGGGACTCTAAATTTGCTTTTTCCAGCGACTTTTCTTCTAATTGCTTCCCTAGGTTTATAAGATCTTTAGAATCATGAGGCTTCTTCTCTTTTAGATCTTGGATATAAGCTTGCAACTCAGCTTCACAATTTTTCAAAAATGAGGTATCCTAATTTCATGAAGGCAATCAAATTATTAAATTTATCGTTACTACAAGTATTTATTACTAAATAACAAAGTTTATGCATTTGCTATTTAATCTATTACAACATTAATGTAAGAATTATAAATAGAAAATTAGAAGCAGGCAGGTAACTATACATTTAAATGAATATTTCAGTACTTCTTGACCATGTATAAATTATCTTTACATGCATTTGGAGGGAAAATATAATAATGCTGACTGACTGACCGCTTGACAATGAAGAGACATTCAAAAAATGATTTCTCCTACAGAGACGTTAATTTTTACTTATTTAAATTTTATAATATAAATTTACTAAAATATGCTACTATACAATAGAAATTAACTGAACATTTTCATATGCTCATGAAAACCTTTTTAAAAGAAATTTTAATTTTGTTTTATTTATTTATTTCAGCATCCCCTTCCTTAGAAAAAATATTTACCTGAAATCCTCCTTAAATATTGGATTGGATTTTAATTAATCTACCTCATTTATAAGTTAAAATGTAATTTTATCTTTAAGAACATGAGGGTAGAAAAGGAAAATAAAAAGCAAAAATGATAAATATTTAATATAATGCCATGTTTGAGATGAAGAAAGAACAATCAGCCAATTAGCAAGGATTATGTATGAATCATTTGATTCATACTAAACCCCAGTTTTTCACATTGGCAGTTTAAAGCCTTAACCACTAAGCCATCATGACTTATATATTAAGTATTGCAATTTATAAAATATTTATTATTGTATATTAGGAAAGTATCCTGCTCTCATAACTGTGTTATGAAAGAACATGTGGGTAGAAAAGGAAAATATAAACCAAAAATGACAAATAAATTTAATATAATGCCATGTTCTAAATGAATTAAGAGCAATCAGCCAATTAGCGAGGATTATTATGTTCTTCTTTTGAATACATGTAAAGGTAGTTTATATGCTTCCTCATCTTATGAATGAAATGATTCATACTAAATATTCGTATTGGATAAGCAAATCACCTGGTAAACAAAGAATACCCAGACTTGTATATTTATTCAAATAATAACAAACAAAACATAATTTATTGAGTATGAAAGTTAAAGCTTCCTCACAGCAGCCCATTGTGGGCCGGGAGTCATGGAGGTTAAGGCTCCACTATTTTGTGACAAAGCATTGTGCACCAATTGCCTTTACTTCCCAGACAAGCTGGTGTCCATTGATCTCAAGTTGGATAGGATTCAAGCCACCACTGGGGATTGAACCCCAGTTCATCACAATGTCCCAACCACTAAGGCTTATATATTAAGTATTGCAATTTATAAAATTATTATTGTTGTATATTAAGGTAGTATCCTGCTTTTATAACTGTATAATGAAAGAGGGTTAAATATAATTCGTTAATATATGACAACCTAATTCTGTAAAGAATGTTTAATACTTCTTTCACTCACTTACTAGTACATTTATTAGATCAAAATTTAGAGCTTTTCTCTTTGATTACCAACATAGACACATAATACAATAGGGAACCGATTATCCGGAACGATCGGGACCATCGCTATTCCGGATAACTGATTTTTCCGGTTTTCTGAATCGCTACAAAAAGCCGTTTTTTTATTGTTAAACACAACTAAAAAAAATTTTTTTTTGGAAATAATCTTAAAAAGAAGAAAAAACGATGGAGTAATGCCCTAATGATTATTTCCAAAATGATGGTAAGGTCAACATCTTTCAAAAAAGAAAGAAAAATCCTAAAATCTTATGAGGAAAAAAATAAAAAAATTTTTAAAATGGCGGGAAAATGTGTCGAATTTCGTTCCGGTTTTTTGGTTTTCCGGTTTTCTGATTTCCGGATAACGGGTTCTGTACTGCATTATTCAAATAATAACAACAAAAAAAAATGTACTTTAACAAGCATAAATTTATCACTGGAAACACAATTTATTCATGTTTTTTAAAATAATTAAGATAATGACTTACAATGTTTTCAGGAACAACTAACTTGGGAAAAATACTTTGCAAAAGATTTTTAAGGGTGGTATTCATCTCTTTCAGTTCAGTTGTGATTAACTAGAACAACAAAAAAAAGGAATGTAATATTTTTATCCAGATTATTATAACTAAAAAATAAATGGTAATGTGCAATATTTTCTTTTCAATTTAACATTTTTTTTTAAAATTGGACAATATTGTTATCTAATTAAAAAAACAAACGTTTTTAAAACATTTTTAATAATCATTATTTTATAAAAATAGTGAATATTTATAAAAATAGCAATAGACTAGACCAAGTCAAAACCAACACTCACTGAAATAGTATCGCTGTTAGTAGTTATAGCTAATAAATAGTATTGACAATACTGATCACAATATTATCGTATTTGATAATTATCCCATATACTCGTTTATTTCAAGACATGATAATTATGATATTTCAAATTTCAAGGTCCTTTTTTTTACCAAAATCAGGTCCCATTTAAAAATAGTATAGATCTCCATTTAAAAGAAACACCTCAGGAGTAAATATTTTATGTCTACTTTCCAAAATGTATGTTTACTTACCAATGTTATGTTTACTTTAAAACCTTCAAGAACTTCATTAATTACAAAATTTCATGAGAAATAAAATAAATTAGTATTTTAAACAAATTTTTAAAAATTTTGAATTTAGAAAAAAAGAAAGAAGAAGTCTCCAAAAATTTTTTTAAAAAAAGATATAAATGATCTGTAATATTGAGCAGAGGATAAATTCTTAGCCTTTTTAACCATCTAATTATTACACGCACTCATAGGTATTTCGTCTATTAATAGACAAAACAAGAAAAGAGTTGTATTCGAATAATCAAGGCTTTTAATTACAAATACTTGCGTGGAGGAAAAACAATAAAATAATTTGATATTCACTGCATTGTATTATCCTTCTGATGTTAATACTGAAGTGAAAATAAAAAAGATTTTTTTTTTCTTTTTCTAAATTTGCCCAGAATAAAACAAATTGGTAGGACTGGGACCCATTTATTCTGACATTACAGGTCTAAATAGGTTACAGGTGAATACATTACAGGTGAAAATTACTGGTTTAAACTTTATTTTTGGTACTATCTACAATCTTGCAGTGTTTTCATCATAGAAAAAAATGGGTGAGAATTTCTCACCCTTTCTCAAAAACAGGGTGAGATTTCAAAAAGTTAAGTGAGATTTCTAAAAACAAAAAAAACACAAAAACTCTTGAAAAAAAAATCATTTCTTTAATTATAATACATTTTTAACGTCTTCTATTTTTTAAAGCATTGAATATTTTTGGTGCATCATCATAGAAGATTTTGCCTTTACAAGGTATTTGTCCATCTTACATAAGTGCTTAAAAAATTTGAACGTCTTACATGAAGAAACCTTACCTACGGTAAACACGTGGTTGCAGAGAAATGCGTTCTGAAAGGGGTTCCGTGGTTGTGTTCGAAAAGTTTCTGAACAATACTGGTAAATAGGGTGGCTAGATAATGGGACAGATGTTGAAAATAATGAAAGATCCAGGAAGAAAAATGAAACGNGGTTGCAGAGAAATGCGTTCTGAAAGGGGTTCCGTGGTGTTGTTCGAAAAGTTTCTGAACAATACTGGTAAATAGGGTGGCTGGATAATGGGGCAGATGTTGAAAATAATGAAAGATCCAGGAAGAAAAGTGAAACGGATTTTATTCTAAATGGCGTAATTTGAAGCTTTTTTCAAAATGCGAGAGATTGGCGAATTTTGAAATTGATTTATAGAATGTGCGAATTTCTCGCGGTAATCATTTTTTAATGCGAGAAAAGAAAAAATATGCGAGATTCTCGCGTTCTCGCGCTGTAGTGAAAACACTGATCTTGGCATCTTTTGACGTATTTATTACAATCTTGGCATTTTTTGATGTGCCATAGTGTGTAAGCAGATGAACTGCGCAATGTGAGAATACTTTTGAAAATATACATATTTATATATATCATGATGCATCGCTTAACTCCATTATAGGAACAAAGATAGATTGATACCTCTTTTTCTTTCTGTACTTCTTTGACTTTTGATTCTGTTTCAATGTTCAACTGATTAAGCCTTTCGTATAAACTTTCCTGAAATTCTTCAAGCCTGAGGTTAGCTTGAGATTCCACTTTCTGAACTCTTTCATCAGCCTGTTTCTTAATGTTATCAGTCTCCTGGTGCGCATTTATAAGCTCTTTTGAAAAACTCTCTCTCAATGCTAACTCAACTTCTTTGATCTGTTCATTCAGAAGATTTTGCATCTCTTTTGAGTGCTTGTCTGACTTAATTTGAGCTTCTTGGACTTTGAGTTCAGCAGAGTCAATCACTTCCTGCATTTTAGATTGGGATGTTTGCAAGGCTTCATTCAATTCATTGTTTTTTTCAGACAGTTCCTAAAATTGATTAAGCAATATTTCTTTTAATTCAAATTTTTTATTTACTTTAATAGAACAATAACACAAACTGTTAATAAAGAAAATTCAGTAATTAAAATTAAATAAATAAAAAAACAATTTAAATTACTAAAAGTTTATTAAATTTATCCACTAAGAGGCTGCATACAACTGGAATTATTGATAATTCATATTCTTTATTTATAACCATATATATATATATATATTATATAAATTGAATTTATGTATTTACATAAGTTGTTTAGTAATGTGTAAACGAGGGAAAGTGTTTTTGTCTACTTCGCTCTAGTTGTAGTATTTGCTTTTAAAAATAAGTGTTTTTTATTATTATTTAAAAAATATGCTGTGGAAGTTGTTATTATTAGTTTCAAATTAACTTCTCAAAGTACTTAGGGAATCTCACTTTGAAGCGTTGTATATTTATACTTTATAAAGAAATAAGTAATCTCTAAGTTAGTGAGAGTCAAAAGAGGTATATTTAAAGTTATATTTTTATTTGTTTTAAATTAGTAGTTTTTTTTTTCCTCCAAAAAATATATTTTCATAGCTGGAACGAAATAGACAAATCTCTTCCTTTTTTATTCATAATCAGAACAAATTTCTTTCTCTTATTATTCTATATATACTATAAACTATATATTATCGTATTGTATTCATTGATGGAAAGGTAGGATTATTTCAAATATCGCAACTGTTTGCATAGTTAAGATTTTATTGTGATAGTACTCAGGATTTGGAGTACAAATATCGCATGGTTAGACTGATAGAAACGGACTCTAACTATTTACTAACGTATGATCCATCAATATTAGGGTTCCTTTTACGTCGTGAATATTGTCAGCCTGGAATGAAAACGTTATACGCATCCTACTGCCATAAGTAGGATTTGACTCTGGATTATATAGTTTACGTTAAAAACAAGCCCTATATACCTGATCCAACCTACCTCAATTGCTTCATCTTATCCACTAAATCTATTTGAGGCAACAGCATTCACCTTATAATTTTNGGTGCATACCTCTACTTATGCTAATGTATATGTATATTAGGGGGCTAAGCCCCTTGTTCGCTGCTGCTCATCAGCCCCGATGATTGCTACGCAATTGTCGTTTCTTGGCAGAAAACAGTCTTTCTACTTGAGTTAAAATTATTCACGTAACATATATGTGATGAAAGGAATTCTAATTGCTAATTGCTTACGCTTGTGCCTCCACTTCCCACATCTAAATATTACTATCCATTAGTATTATAAACATTTAGATCTTTTGGTGATCAGAAGTAATTTTTCTAAGTAATCATTTTTTAAAATAACATTTATATTGTTATAACATTTATATTGTTCAAACAATTTTGATGAGTTCACAACCGTAATTTAATATTTTCGCTTACCAAAGGGGCGGATATATTAAATACAATTTTTGCTAGCATCTCATCGTTCATGGAGCTGGTCATTAAGTTTTAAATCATTTAACAGATCTCTTTAATTATAATTTATAACAGTATATTAATGTTACTTGCACAAAAATAATTATTGTAAATAATATTAATATTAGACCACCTTTCTAAACAACTTTATCTTAAAATGTAGCGCATAATTACAATATAATAATAATAAAAATAATTCATTCTCTTAGTTTTAAACTCTAGAATTCAAAGCGCAATAATAGCAGTAAAGGAAAATAACTTTAAATTAGAGATACACAAATACTTATAGAAAAACAATACCTTTATAACTTTTATTAATTTTATACTGATGACAACTAAAACCATATGGAAATGAATTAGGTAGGAAAAACTGGATCCTATCACATGATTTTCCGGCCAATAAAAAGGCTCGGACAACAATAGATAACTGTCACATTGTCATTAGAAATACTCAAAACAAGATAAAAATTGCAACAAGCTGTAGCTGGTAAGTTTAGTTGTAACATTTTAGCAGGCAGCATTATTAAAAATTATTACCTTTTCACACGCATGCATTCTTAAATTTGATTGGCTGTTTTGTGTGTTACTAACCGCAAGTCTTCAGTGATTGGCTATGTGTTATCATTTCACTCTTTTCTTATAGACATATATACATATATTTCAAAGTTAATTGACAAAAAGTTTCAACAAAACATCATAATGCAGTTAAATGCAATTAAAAATTTACAAGCTGAAATTGATTAATTAAATTAATAACTGGAAAAAATTCAATAACTTCAACTTTAAATTAGTCAATTTTATTCAAATAGATTAATTATGTTTTTTTTTATAGTTTTCCTAATTAAGCTATTAACCTAATTTCCTAATTAAGTGAAAAGTATGATTATAATTGAAGAAAAATCTAACAGCCTCTACTCACTTTTTCGAAAACTAAAAAACAATAAAACTGAATAAATTGTCTACTTTACAAAAATTCTTCTCAATGTATGTTGTAACAGCATACGTTGTTGATTATAAGGTTGGCACGTCCATGTTTTAAGAAAATGAATTATATAAAAAAATTTAAATGGATTTTAAGTTTTAAAAATTTAATTTTCATTACAAAATTTAAGAAAAAAATTATAATACCCTATTTTAATTGTTAGAATAAATTCTTTACAAAAAGTTTTAATAAATAATGTGTTCATTAAATAAGTTTTTTATAAAATTATACATTTTTTAATTTTAGTATTTCTTAATTATCATATTGATTACTGTGATTACACGTCAATGACATTCGATCCCTATTTTATATGCAAAAATATTTCTTAAATCTGATTCAATTCTCTAGTATATGAGTGAAACCATGCAATATAATTTCGAAATCATGCAATATAATTTCACAAATCATAAATTAATTTTTGCTCAAAATTAGTGAACATAATCTAGTAAGTTAGAACTGCTTTATTACTAAATACAACATACATTTTCAGGTATTGTGGACAATAATCAATAGGAATTCAGGCATACAGTTATTTTGGAAAGTTTTAAAATGTTCTCATTAATTTGTAGGTAAAAGCAAAACGGTTACTACAAGTCCATCAGTCGGACTGCAGCCTGATAAAAGGCTAAAATGCAGCAGTTTTAAAATACCACTGGTGGCAGAAAAAGGGAAATGCATGGAAAAATAATTAAAATAAATAAATTAAAATAGTTGTTTGCCAGCACTCAGAGGGTTTTCTAATTAGTTATAATTAATTTTCTATAACTTTCCTTTTATATTCACCTAAATAATTTTAAAACTTATGCATTTATTTTCAACACATGATTTTCAGACAGACAAACCAACAGATACAATTTTGATTTAGTCTACATATGAGAATTAGGAAATAATATATGAGACTATAAAAATTATTAACTGATACAACACTGCAACCTCTTTTATTAAGCGGACTAAAAGTGCTTCCTCTTCCAAAGAAGATGCCGACGTTTTAGAGCCCTAGATATTATTCTTTACAGATTATGGTTGGACATATTCCATTGTAACGTTTTCAATCTGATCAGCAGATAGCGGAATTTGAGGCCATGGCATTTTTGCATTAGATTATATTACAGGATATGCTTAATTAGTAATTAATTAGACATGCTAAATTAACACTGTACCAGTTCAAAAGAGTGATTTTTTCATGCTGCAACATCTGAGATTATTAGCTATCTTCTAATGTCTTCAAATAACAAAATATTTTACAGAATATCAACTCACTTCATTGTTTTTTTTCTCACATGCCACCTCATTCAAAAGATTGTCTCTTTCATTATTGCACTGTTCAAGTTCTTCCATCAGAGAATGGACTACATTTTCATTTTTCTTGAAGCTAAAATTTTTATTTCACCATCAAATATTTTAAAATATTAAAAAAACAAAAACAATGTTAAGCTCAATTAAACAACGAATGATTTATTAATTAAGGATAAAAATATTTCTACATTATTGTGCTCTCCCCACTTTAAAATTTATTCAAGTGCAGTATGACAAAATCACAATTTAATTATTAGTTAAATTGTGATTAATTATGTTTTATACTGTTGAATAAATTATGTGTTTAAAATAAAAAGAAATTAAATAGAAATGAATTAATGATTTTTAATGAATGTTTTGCTTATTGTAATATTTTTAATTACAATTATTACATTTATTAATTACCCTTTGAGTTTAAACTATATACTAAAATGAAATATAATAAATGAAAAATAATGTCCATAACAGTTTATCATAACTATTGTTTTTAAAGAAAAAGGAATGTAACTATGTATAATAATATGACATAAATGAAATTCTTTTTCATCATTAAAATATACTACTAAAAACTATATATTTTGATGAATTCATTGTGTACATATATATGAAACATATATACTATATATTTTTAAAAATATAATAAATAAATGTCGACTTACACAGCCTCTTGTTCTTGAAACTCTATAGTTTTAGCCTATTTTAAAAGAAAAAGCATTTTTAATAAAATATTATGTTTTCACAATTGATAAGTTAAGTTGATCAATGCATTTTGTAAGTGACATTTTGAAAACAGCAAAATTAAAGGTTAATTGAGTATAAACAATAAAATATGTTAAAATCAGAACAACATTTTGAAAACTTCAGGTGCATACCTCTACTTATGCTATGTTTACATGATGATGTGTGAATATTCCTATTATTCTAGAAAGTATTATTAGGATTGTATTTAAATTTAAATGTAATTTTATAATTTCTAGAAACTTATGAGCAATAAATCAATTTGGGAAAATTAATATCATGATATAAAGAAAAAACCAAGTGTAAGTATTGCATGGTTTGATTGCTATCGTCAGTTTGTTTTCAGGTAGAATAAAAGATTTACCTATTTAATAATAAATAACCTATATTATGCAGTAAACAGTACAAGTACAATAACAAAATAGGATGGCATGTATTTTAGTCTTCAAAATAAATAAGAAGTTGTAACCCAAAAATCTTATTATATGCTGCCACCTGTGCTTAGCTTTATTCGGTTAATCAACTGGCAGTTGAGCAAATGGGCAAAATTGAAAAAAAAAATTTTTCCAATTCACTATTTTCCTATCTAATAACATAGAAAAGCAGAACCGTCAGTGGGTTCAGAATTATTTGTCCAAAACAAAAAATTTTAACAGTTTCCAGTATAATTTTAGTAATGGAGCATTGAAAAACTCATAATAGTTTTAGGTCAATGAATGGAAACTTACAGCACTAATATAACCAGTGTAACCAGACACTAAAATAACCAGTGTGAATTAATTAATGTTCCCTCATACCAATACTCAATTAAAATTTGTAATTGAGTTCAAGCCTTCTTTAATCGAATAATTTTAAAGTATGATGAAAACACAGTAAATATGCCTCTTAATATTTTTGTAGAAAAGTAATTTATTGGATCATTCCTCAATTTACCATTTAAAAATTCAATGATATAATAATTACCATACAGTTGATTAGAATATATCACTTTTAAAATCAGATAAAATAGATGAATCAATAACTGTGAAACTACAAAACTATGATTCCAGTTAAAATTTATAACCGCATTTGCTGAAAGCAATAATTGCATTGATCTCTGAATTCATTATCATAAAAATTTGGAAATGTAAAACTATTAATTGGGTTTCTATTCTATTGACTAAATTCTCAAAAAGTTTGAAATAATGAATCCTACTGCTAAGGATTCATTGCTATATACATGTTGATATATGTAATGCTAATCATATACATATAGGAACTATGTATATGATTAGCATTTTAACCATTCACAATTAGAGGACAGTCTTTAAGTTTGAAACTTTCGTGATAAATTTTACAAGCAAATTAATTAAAATAAATATTAGATCCAAAATTCATTGCTCAATTTTCCAAATTAGTTATTATAAAGTAGGAAGTTTATTGCCCACTTTATGTCCACGCAAGTCACTGCTCACCTCCTAACCCTTTAACAAAACAGTGGTTAGATGGGCATTCTTGCTCTTCCCGCACAGTGAATGTGATTGAAGGCTGATGAGGCAGACGTCTTCTTTTTTTGTGTTAATTGATTTATATTCTGTCCTGTATTCTATACTCATGTTAATAAATGTTTGTTAATTTAATTATAGTCCTTGCCTTTTCCCATACTTTGCCCCCAAAATATGGGCATGTTAACAATATTGTTGTCGGTAATAACAGCATGTCAATAGTATTTGTTCCCGCGCCAAATTAATTAAAAAAAGATCAAGAGATGGCGCTGGGAAGAGTCATGTGTATTAAGTGAAATAGAAATAAAAAAGATGGAGGAAGAGCAAGTCGTGTGTCCTTTATTGTGGTAAAAAACAAAAAAAAGAACCAGCTAAAAAGTTTTCTGATCGAATATTGTTCAGTATTGATATTTTTATTTTTAAAAAAATCACAAGAATACCAATAATAATAACAGAGCAATGGAAGATATCAGGATTTCAAAAAAATCCAAGTAAACATTCATAACAGTAATTGCCGAAAAAATGATCAAAACAATACATATACAATTACATATACAATGATATACAATTGAATCAATGTGAGTTGTCAGTGATAAAGTGAAGGCTCAGATGTAAGATTAAAAACGTGCATAACATATTAAAAATATTGGATCGCTTTTATTTCAACAAAATTAAAAAAAGTGACAAATGTACTGCAATGAATAATTTTTCTCCTACAAATTTCAATACCCACTCAAAGTCATATTTAATAAAAATGTAAAATAGTGTGTTCTTTAAGATAATGGAAGAAAGAACATCATTTCTAGAACAAACTAAATTTTAAACTTTTGCAATTTTTCTTTTTATATTATCAATTTGAAATTCTAGCTGATTCAGCCAGTCATTGCCACATTTTTTTTTAATTCTCAAATAAGAATAGAGAAATCACTAATATCTCCTCCAATGCACTAGAAAAGCATCTTTTAAATATAATTTTGAAGAAAAAAATCTTACGCAAATTTCTGCAGAAAAAAACAACACAATTTTTAACTTCCCAAAGGAAAATTCTTTCGGCACGAATTCAATTAGGTTCTGGGACTATGTCGCCGTGATTCTGCCAAGGGCCCTTATAGAAGAGCCACCTTTGGCGCAAAAAAGTATTCGACAAAAATGCTGCAAGAATCTAATGGAAGTTAAATTTAGGAAGGGGGGAGGAGAGGTCACACAAGGAAAGTAATTTAAGCTTTGTTTGGTGGGGTATTACAAAATCCACTTGCAGGGACTCATGTGACCATCCACCAAAATTTATTCAGAGTTAGATGTACAAATAAACTTACCTCTAATGAGCCTTGCAACTGAATGGCATTTTGCTCAGAACTATTCAGCTGATGCTTCAGTTCCTCCAGTCTTTGCCGAAGAGATGAATTCTCAGCTTCCAAGCTGCTGCACACAGATTGAGCATTCTGAAGTTCTTGAACTAAGGATGCACGGGCATTGTCAGCCTGCTGTATCTTATTACTTAGCTCATTGATGCGCTGTTTGTAGTTATAATCGTCTTCCTGGTGAGAACTGATTATCTGCTCCAGTTGGTGGATTTCACGATGGAGGTCTTCTTGAGTCTGCTGCATCGTTGATTGGTGAGATTCAAACTTTTCTCGAGAAGACCTCAGCTGATCTATCTCATGCTGAAGGCGGGAGATTTCCATAGAGCTTCGTTGATTTTTTCTACATTAAATAAATATTAATTACTTTAAGTTAATGCAAATGAATAAAGTTTAGAGATTAAAAATCTGTCAATGTAATAATATTGCTTAAAGACAAAAAATATTTCATAATGTAGTTTTAACTTACATGCGCATAGTTACCTTTAAGTATATTCATGCATATTAATATTAGCTTTACTACAAATATATACATTTATTGCTCTCAAAATGAATAACTAACAATTAGTTAATTTTAAATTAGAAATCAATATTGTTTGATTGAGTCTAAAATCATTAGTTATGAAGAGAGAAATATGGGGTTAATTTGCAACTAGGACTGGGCTATAAATCGATATATCGCGGCATATCGATTTAACGCCTGTATCGGCAGGCCGATATAGCGATACAAGATATAGCGATATACGATTTAGTGATACAAGACACGAAAGGATATCTTACGTTACGATGCCAACTCGCGCTAGAGAAGATGATGTTTGTATCGTTATATTGAAACGGCCTTGATTGATGAGCGGTAGAATCAGAATCAGTTTTGAGAACATATATCGTGATCGTGCATGCTCGTTTCCGCACCTCTTAGTTTCTTTTTCTTCTTTGTCGCGACTTGATATCATTTCTTGTAGTTTATTTTCAGTGGAACTGAATTTGTGATCGCCATCGTTACCTTGTTCTGAACGTAATCTATTATTGAAAAGAATATATAAAGAAGTGTTTCTTAATTAATTTAGGTAAATTTTTTTTGAAACAAAACTTTCTTTTTTATTTTTAAATATGAAAATTATTTTTGATATTATATGTTTAAGCATTATTTTACGTTATTGAATTTATTACAAACGGAAATCTAATTTAAGGTGCCCATAAAGAATTAAATTAAAAAGTAATTAAATTTGTTAGGCTATTTTTTACTTTATTTTAATTTATTAAAAACTTTTTGGATAAAATAATAATTTAATGGGTTTTTATTACTGATTTTAAATTTATAAATCTTTAGTTGTTTTCATTTTTATAAATAAAATTATAACAAAACTTATTTTTCCTCTTTTGGATTTGGACATAAGTCAATCAACTTTGTTTATTCAAAAAAATTAGTAATGTTTGCGATTGCGACTTCTTTTTTTAAAATCATTTAGCACTTCGTTTTATTAAAGAGTATAATCATGTTTTTTAATTTTCTTTCAATATTGTCAGTTGAATATATTATCGAATATCATAATTCTTTTGTTTTTATTTTTAAGAAACTAAACCTTACTTTGTTTTTTTGTTCAGAATTTGGTAATTATTCAATTTAACTTTATTATTTATGTGAAATAATAATGATAAAAAATAGTGTTGTTTTAAAAGTGTTGTTTTTTTTAAAAACTTATTTAGCACTTTGTTTTAAGCATACAAATAATTTTTATCGAACTTATTTTTTAAATTTTCTTTCTATATTGTTAGGTAAATATATTGATAAATTTCAATTTTATTTATTTTTTTATTATTTATTTTTAAACTAAGAAATCTTTCGTTATTTGTGCAATCATTTTTAGAAAATATAACTTTAATATTTTTCTTAAGCAAAACATATACATCAAATTCATAAATTGATTTAAATCAATCTGAGTATGAAGTTTTGATAGAAATCCGACTTTATGCGCCTTACAAGTAAATGAATTTCAAAAATACTATATCGCTATACATTGCTATATCACGATGCAAAACTGACGATGCATCATTATATCGCCCAGTCCTATTTGTAACATAAGGGTTCACTTTATGATTTATTTTCCACGACTAAATCCAATAAGATCATAAATCAAGAGGGCCATCGGACAAACTGATATCTGTGATAGGCTATTAACCTCCTTGAAATAGGTTGATAAATTAAAAGCATGCCAAATTTATAACTAACCAGGAAAATAATTTATATTTTTAAAAAAAACTAAGCAATTTACTCTGATTCCATTCTATTCATGGACTGCAGTTGACTATTTTCTTCTTGTAATCTCTGAATAGCAAGAGCATGTTCTTCTTTCATCATGCTTTTCATCTATAAGGAAGAAAATTAATTATACATCATATAAAAAATATCAAAATTGTACATAATTTTTTTTTAAAAAAAAAGAAGAAAAAAACTATATTAGTCTGTTTCAGAATTTCAGATATTGAAGATTCTTAAAAAATTGAGGGTTAGATACTGTTTCAGAATGATTCAGTGGCGAATGGGTGTCTTAATTAAAGAAACCATATTTAATAACAAACAAATTTAATAAGCAATAAAACGATTTGATACGAAATGGGGCTCGCCAATGAGTCATCCAGTTCAATCCATTGCCTGCCACATAAGTGATTACAGAATTATTGCGAGTGATTACAATGCCCTCTTTTGGTCAGGCAGAAATTCGTAACAGATACTCTTGCAGAAGCAGTCAATCCACTTTCATCAACTGTTGCATTCATGAAACCTGATTTGCTGAGAAGGGTTAAAAAATATGAGGGGAAAGTTTTATTAGTATAAAAAGTAACACAGGTTTTGAATATTAAAGGACTTTGTATCAATTCTCATCTGCTTAAAATTATTATAAGCCCTAAAAATAATCAAAAGCACTTTTTTAAAAATTAATTTTATTGAAAGATAACAATCCAAAATTTGCACCATTATTAAAGTATGAGTTTTTAAGTAGAACTACAGCATCATAGACCACATGAAACATACCTACTGCAATTGGCTTCAGTGTGAATTAAACAAGGGTGAATTCTTCAAAGCATAATATTCACCAAGAAAATCTGACTGTGAGTGTTAGGTTCTTTAGCACAGGGGTGATACATTTTGATTTTTTGTAACCTAGCACATCAATCACAATAGAAATATACTGCAACTAACTAGAAAAAATTTTCAAAAATTTGGGGAAAAATAGCTTAGATTGATAAAAAAAAAATCATCTCCTGTCTTATCACATGGCATTGCCAAACGACAAAATGCACAAATGGCTATGGCAAAACTACAGGAATTAAAACTTCTTCATTATCCATCATTTTATCATGCTCACTAGACATAGCTCACACTAAATACCACTATTTTTTACATTATACAACTTTTTAATACTAGGAGCGCTGACCAGACTGTGTAGGGGTCAGGGAACTGGCCTTGCATCAGAAAGGTTCTGGGTTCGAATCATGGATGTTCTTTCATTCTCTGTACTATCTGTCCTTAGTGTGGGAGCAATGTTGGTGCCCCTGAACTTGTGGCCAACAAATCTGCCCCTGTAAATGCCTGAATTGATGAAAGGTTAACACATGTGGGCATCGGAAATAAAAAAAACTTTTTAATAGGAAAACAATTTAACTTTAAATATGCTAAAAAACTGCCCTTCCAGGAATCTATTTACTCTTCTCTGCCAGTCAAAATTGTCTGAACAACCTGCTGCGCAGGTGACAAAGGAGAAGAGAAAATACAGGTACATGCTTTGATGAAAATAATAATTCCTTATAATCAAGAGGTTATCAACCAACTTTGTTTTTCTTTTCAACAAATTTCTTACTTGATGACCCAATGTCTTACCCTTCATTCATAGTAGGGGTTCCTAAACTTTTTCAATTCACAGCATTTTTTTTTTTTTTTTTGTGATTAAGATTTCACCATAACTCCCAAACTCAAATGAAAATAAAATTAAATAATTTCATTAATTTAACAAATGTAGCACTCGCTTTGGGGATCACTGTCTGTAGCAAGAGATAAGGCTAACAGTAAGGTAAAAATATATAGCTGTTGGCGTCTAATTGAAGTAGATGATGAAAACAGGATCATAATGATAATAAAACTCTTATTTCATTGTAGACCTCGAAGTGCAAAATAAAAAGAATATTGTTATCCAAATAAGATTATAAATTTTTGCATAATATTAATAAGGAGAGAATATGGGACCTGCTGATCATAAGTTATTACAAAAGCAGTATTAAATCAATGCTTTTGAAGTACAAGAGAGATCCATCATAGGCACATGATCAAAAAAATGCACTGCCAAAAATAAAATCAGACAGTCTCACATCTTAGTATCTAAATAATTTGGCTGATGAATTAAGGCCAAAAAGTTAATTGGAAATTAACGTAAACCTAATAACGCACGAGCTAATGTTTTATATGGATGAAGAAAGAAAAGTTAAAAATAGATTTTGATGCTCAGTTGTTGTGACATTGATAAACATTTAGTTAACACTTGCAATGAAATAAAAAGTTAGCTGTTACATTTATTTAGAATAAAAGTATTTGAATTTGCTTTTTATAAAATTGAATTAAAAATAAATAACTGACTTTATTTAAAGAGGGAATGATTAAATTTAAGAAATAATGGAAATTTAAAAGCTAGGAAATATGTAGGTAATACCTATAATGGCATCACATATACTAACTTAACTTAGAGATCAATACTAAGAGATTTTTCTAATAGGTTACAGAGATACAGATTTGATACAATTTCTGTTATATTAATGAATCATAAATTTAACACTAAACAAATTTTGAAGAAAAATTTTCACATATATACCAAGAAAAGATTCACGATTATAAATAAAAATATTTAAGAAAAACTTGTGTTATACTTAAAACTGTAAGAATGTAAAGAAAAATTTTCAGAAAACAATAATTATAATAAATTCAATATTAGATTAACATATTATTTTTAAATAAGAAATAACATACTTTTTTCATTTTGGATTGCAGAGCTGAAATTTCATCATTGTAATGCTTTTGCTTACGTTGCATCATATCATGCAATCCTTTGATTTCTTGCTGCTCTTGATTTAAAGCAGTTCTAAGAGATTTTTCAACAGCAGAAGCTTGTGATTTTGTATCCCCTAATTCCTGTAAGAGGTCACAAATTTTCTCATTTGCCGCTTGAGATGATTTCTGCTCATTCCTGAGCGCATCTTCCTTTTCTTGAATTATTTTCTTCAATGCTTGAAATTCACTTTTCTACAAAAATAATTATATGAGTAAAAAAACTTTGAATTCAAACATAATTTGAAATCTTCTTTTGAAATAGGAAATACAAACAAGTTTAATTAACAAATTAATGTAAATATGAGAATTATTTGATCCTTGTAACCAATGATGGAAAGCTAAATGTTTTTATACCAAAACTTGAAAACTCCACAGCAAATGGAGGAGAGAGTATATTTTCTATATTTAAATAAAAGAATATACTGTATTAAAATAGATCAATAAAATAAATTGCAATACATTTTTATTAACCGACAGAGCATCAGTCCTGGCTTTTTCCAAACTTTCAGATGCAAAAAAATGATCTTAATGATCTAAAAAAATTTTTAAATTCCCGAAGGAAAAATTTTTCTGCAAGAACTCTGTAATGTTCTGGAACTATGTAACCTCGCTACTGATTATTTATATTCTTTAAGAGGATAAAAAACCTACATTTTTCATCATCTCCCATTCACTGCTTATTTACTCTTCCCCAACTATAAAATGACACTTGATTTGAATTTGCAATTTATAAAATTATTCAAATCATTGTAAATTTGCATTTTGATTTGAAGTTTTCTATAGGAAAAAAAATTTATCATAAAATTTTTTTAAGATATGCCTTTGGCTAAGAATTAAATTTGGCTAATACTTTTGGTATTTGACTATACTTACTAATAATTTGAAGTCCTTAGCACGAGCCCTGATACTGCGTAAATAAAATGAAATAACCGAATGAATAAATAAAACCAAAAATAAAATAATCCTAAAATCAAAAAAAAATAATAATAATTAATTTTAAAAAAAACTGATTCATCATTTTCTAACAGAGAAAAAGAGTGTAAAAATGCAAACATAACAAATCTTCATTATGAATAACGATCAATAGAATGTAGTATTAACAAAGTTATTTAATTTACATTCAAAATTATTTAATTTACATTATGTGGTGATTATAAAAAATTTTAAGAACACTATTCTTAAATAATAATAATATATTTGTTGTTGTTGTTGTTGTTCATTTACGTCACACTAGAGCTGCACAATGGGCTATTGGCGACAATCTGGGAAACATCCCTGAAGATGATCCGAAGACATGCCATCACAATTTTGATCGTCTGCTATATAATATATTTATATATATTTAGCATTTAAATATAATAATATATTTAGCATTTAAAGACAGAATGTATTTAAAAGCAATCACAAAGTTTACTTTTCCTAATTAAAACCAACATTGCCTTATAAACATACTAAACACTAGGAAAATTTTAGTTATTATACCTTCTTCTCATTAACTTTGAGGCGTGATGAAAGAGCATCAATTATACGCTGCAGTTCTTCATCGTTCAACTGTATCATTTTAATCACACTCAAAACTTTGGTTTCATTCCACTCAATAAGTTCAGAACCTAATATAAAACAACTTGCATCATATAAATGATTAATAAAGACATCATAATTATCATCATTCTATATTTCATTTATCCTAAATTTTTCTAAAGATATATATATATTTGAAGTATTTACAAAACTTATGCTTTAATATTTTCTTTTTTAAATAAATTTGATTTAAAATAGTTTTCATTGCCACTTCATGTCGACAATCTCAATATAAAGAAGTTCTGTAACTCAGTTTTCTATAATTTTAAGCGTAATTGAAATTGAAATATTTTCTTTTCCATTTATTTGACAAAATTATCAAACTAGAAAAGAAAAGAAAGATTGCAAAAAAAAAATTTTCTTTCACGTGTGGAATTTTGATGTAGTGCACGCGATACATAGTAGATGTGTAGGTAGCAAGAAAAGCATTGAATTCTCTGCAAATCAATAAGAAAGGCATCTGGACTGTTGCAAATTGCAGAATTTTTTGTCCACCTGCATTTACTTGTCTAGTTACACTTGGAAAAAAACACAATAATCAAAATGTTAAAGACAAAACAGACTTTCTGAAACACTGGTATAATGCCCAAGATGGGTGAAAAAATACTACTGTTGCACTAAAAATTTCTTAGCAGAAACTAAAATGTTCTATTAAATGATAAGAATCACAACCAGAATGAAAACAGTGTGAATTTTAACCATAAGTGAAGACCAGTGGCGTAGCGAGGGGTGGGCAAGGGGGGGCATCATGCCCCGGGCGCTACTCACAAAGGGGCGCCAAATGGTCCGCAAAACAAAAAATTGCTGGATAATTTTTTTTTATTATGATTGATTTCTGGAANTTAGAGATAATAAATATTTACTTTTTTATTGTTTTAAAACTGCGTGTTTTTAAAATATTTCTTTATAAATATGTAAAATAAATAATAGGTATCTTTTGAACTAATTCTAGATGATCATATACATTTCAAAATCTAGTCTTGTTCTCTCAACTACATTTTTTGTCTCAAATTTAAAGCCTAGCTTGAGTCTATGACTTTATTTATTTCACTTTACTTATTTATTTATTTGCGAGTATATTTTGCATATAATATTACATGGTTTTCGAATGGGGGGGGCACTAAAAGGGTATTGTGCCCCGGGCGCGAGTTAAGCTCGCTACGCCACTGGTGAAGACATAATGGCAAAGATGGAGAATCGGAATCTGATTGCCAACTTTTGAATAATTGTCTTTTCAATTTACAGCTGAAAAAATAAAAATTATTATTCAGTTCTATATATTTATGGTAGTAAAATTAAAATTCTGTGTTTCTAGACACTTTTCATTTATCATTATCAAATCATATAAATTTTTAAAAAAAGATCACATTAAGTCACGCCTACTTAAATCTAATGAAAATGTATTATGCAATTTTGTAGAGTAGCTTATGTTACCTGACTCTGAAAGATCTGCCTTATTTCTTTTCTTTTTCAGAGGAGACTTTTTAATGGGTCTTGAGACATCTGTCATTTCAGCCTTGTCCTGAAATTCTCCAATATGTGCAGTTGGAGATTCCGAACTTTGACTTTTGTAATCCTCCTTTGTGCAAATAATTTTATCAGCAAACAGTGGTGTTTGATTTTCTTTGCATGTTTGTGAAATATCTGGTAAGCTACTAACTGATGGCAACTCATCTGTCTCATCAGAAGAAGATAACTGCTGCGCTTGATCTTTTGAATATTGAGTCGGTATAACTAATTTGCAAAAAAAAAACAACTTATTAGTATTAGTTTACAGTTAAAAATAACAGTTGTTCCAATGAAAGATGATTTATAAAATATAGGTGTTACGTAGTAATCATCTTTTATACATATTTTTAGAATCTTTGGGAAAAAAATGAAGTAAAATATTATTTACATACAATTACAGTTGAACTTCGATAACTCGAAGTCTCAGGGGACCCTCAAAAATATTCGACTTATCTGAAGTTCGAGTTAACTCGAACTCCTTTCCTCTGGCCCTCAAGTGGCCTGTGCTATAAAATATGTACATTTGCATGCATTTTAATTTTTTAATAGCATATGGAAACAATAAGAGAATAATAGGGTCCAATGTTTTATTGAAACTCATAAAATCTGGCTTCAATACATAATATATACTACATAAATCTCATTTGAAAAAAGTGGTTAGTTTTGTTTGTTTAAATTTTATAAGGTTGTTGGCATTCACAAAGTCACTTAATTTTTGAACACAATTAAATAGGGTGTTATCTGCATCATCGGCGGTCTCCAGGTATTGTTGTAAGATGTGAACAACGTCATATGCTTGTTTGCCTGTTGGAGGTGAGGGGCTATTAGATTCCTCTTCGTCCTCATCTCCTTCTGGTTCTCCGCAAATTAAACTCACTATTGCTTCGTCAGACAAGGGTTCTGAGGTTATGATGTTGTCATCGATGCACATGAAATCTCTTAACTGTTCCCAGTCCATATCCCCCATGCCTTCAAAGAGATCCCAATCGTCGGCTTCCGCTTCATTGTCATCTACACTTGCACTGAAGAAACCACAGCTCTTAAAACAGTTCTCAATCACAGCTTGAGAAACATCACTCTCCCAGGAGTGCGAAATCAAGCGCATGGCATCTAACACATTATTTTGTGCTCGACTCCATTCTCCATATCCACGAATGATTGGCGCACCCAGCGTTTTAGATAGGCATGTTTCAGGCACTTAATGATGCCTTGGTCTGCAGGCTGCAGTTTTGAAGTTGTATTTGCCGGCAGGAAGACCAACTCAATCGCGGACAAGTTTGCGTTATCACCGTGAGCAGTACAGTTGTCTAGGAAGTGTAACACATTTCTGTTTTGGGTGAAAAACTTTGGATCTAGTTTCCGGATGTATGTCTCAAACAAGTTCAAAGTCATCCAAGCTTTTGGATTGGCATGGTACTCTACGCAGGATTTGACATTTTTTTAGCACCGAGGTTTCTTTGTCTTTCCAATGACCATCAACGGAAGTTTTTCAGTCCCATTGGCGTTCGTCCCTACCAGAATTGTCAACCGTTCCTTGCTGAGCTTGCCACCAGAGCACTTCTCACTACGAAACATCATTGTCTTGTTAGGCATGCCTTTAAAAAAAAAAAGAGTCCGGTTTTATCCACGTTGAACACATCTTTCAATGCATATGACTGCAGAAGATGTGGCAAACTCTTACTCCAATTCTCGCATGTTTCATCAGAAACATCCTTTGCTTGTCCGCGTAGGGTGCGGAACACGATCTTGTTCCTGGCTTTGAATTTGCCCAGCCATCCCGCACTGGCGTTGAATCCTGTGACGTTCAGCAGGCAAGCGAAGTTCATTGCTTTTTCTTTTAACAACATTCCGATGAAGGGAATGTTCTTGCTTCGGTGAGTTTTGAACCATTTCAGAAGTGCTGCTTCTACGTCAGGAAATGCACACGTTTTTGCGAGTTTACTGGAAGAGTCAGCTCCCGATCCAAAGCGGCTCGAAATCTTTTGTTTATATCCTTTAACACCGTAGATAAAGTGGTTGGAGGAATGCCATATTTAGCAGCCACATCTTTCTTTTTCAACTGAGGATTTTTTTTCTACTTCCAAAATGAGCTTTACTTTTGATCTAAAGTAAGCATGATCAATTTACGCTTAGACATTCTGGCTACAAAATGCTGATTTAATCAACAAGCAAAATCCAAAGAAGGCAACTGCAGCGTCTCGGAGTCAAAGAGAGGTGACCGTACAGCTGGGAATCCTTATCACGAATAAGCACGTTTTCTGAGAGGACCCAACCCTATTTTCCCTTTACAAAACATTGTCGTCAACCCCTGCCGTCATTGCCCCTTACAAAACATATTACTCGTCCTCCCGCCCCCAAGAGAGTGACCACCTTGAAGTCATTCTTCTGGCGCACTCCAGATTCCCCTTCCCACCACAATCCCTTATCTGTTTAACCTTTAGGACAATGGAGGAAAGGAGAGTGAAGGGCATTCCAAGAATGTTTGAGGCACAGAAGACAAATGTGGACTGGTTTTCGAAGTTGCAAACTGAATTGCGTTTATTTAATCATCTTGCACTAAATTTGGAAAAACCTATCCCAAAAAACTTCGATTTCAAAGATGTTATCTTCGAGTTATCGAGACAGTTTGACAGTTTTTAAAAGAAAAGTATAAGAATGATTTGGGACTTGATTAAAAGCTCGAGTTAGAGGATTATTTGACTTATAAGAAGTTGAGTTATCGAAGTTCGACTGTATAATATTTGTTGCACAATTATAACATATTACAATATTTAAGTGAAAACAGTAACAAAATTATCTTCAAATTCTGGCTAACGACTTTTAAAGTGAATAAGAATAAATGAGGAATTGAAATAATTTTGACTAATATTTTAAAGAAGGAATCTAAAGGTGGTTATTGGCAAAATTAGTGCATTCCGATCATACTATCAACAAAACCAAGTTTTTGATGATTTTGATGATTTTAATCTCTTCCATGCCCCAATAATGTTTGGTTAAAATTTAGAAATGACCATTCAACCTAAATATTTAATTACGATCTTCGATGCGCATAGTCTTTTTTAAATCTATCGATATTTTACATCCTATGCCAGAGCTAGGCATAACCACCATCTCTATGATGGCAGTTCTTTACTGATCAGAGACATATAAAAAGTTAGAATAAAATAACTAAAGACAGTCATTAATTAAAACAATTATATACATTCATTCTTTATCACATACTAAGTAGCATCAAGTGCTGGCAAGCAAAGTGCTACTCTCATAAAATGAGAATATTGTGACTATATTGCAAAGCATGTTTGTAGCATAATGGGAGAAGAGTGTTGAAATGTCAGTAATGTAGATAAAATATAGCAGAAAGAAAATGTAAATGTTGACTTTCTGGGTTATAACTACAATTTCTATGAAGACACTAGAATGCTATGTTGTTAGAAAATGAAACTTGAAAAATTAACAAGAGTAAAAATTGGTAATTAACAGACAAAAAATGTAAAAATTTAAATGCTAAATAATAACAGACTGAAAATAGCTGTTGGAGGTATTCATTAGAAAAATAAAGTATAATTAAAAGGCCAGGGTCAACATAAGCCCCACTTTTTTAATGTGACGTTTTTACATCTAATAGTCACTTAGTATTGTTTTCAGAAACATACTTTACATGTTTTCAGAATTTCCAGTAAGAAAAAGCACAATGCACAATCCACAAAAATATTCTATTTTTTATCAAAAATAATCTCAAAAATGTCTTGATGTTCTATTTATTGTATGCACCACTTTTGAAATTCTATGAGTATAAATCATGTAAAAACACAACTCTCCTAATAAAATGGTTATTTTTATTTATATATTTTTTGTAGCTGAAAACAAAATCTACCAAATACTAATTGAAAATCAAAATGAATATATTAATTTTATAAAACTGGGAAGGAAATTTATCCAATTATCTCAAATTATAACTTGATAGGGGAGAATGTTTATCTTGGACTGCCTGTAACTCGGAACAGCATAAATATCTTCTTGTGAAGAAATTTCAAAATTCAGCATATTTAGTTGATATTACACAATCCTCTGTGTTTCAGGTTTCATCAGATAAAAGAATATCGTACTTAAATATTTTTTCTTTTACAGGAAATATATTTAAATATACCTCCAATTTTTTAGTGTCAAATTTGAATGCTTATTAAGTTTATCTAACAGCATCATAAGATGTTTTCTTCCCTAAAATACAGGACATATATTTATGGTTCAATAAATAATTATGCAATCGAATTGGATATTTCAGTTGTTATTTTGTTTTTACGTATGAATTTTACATTATTTTCTCTTACATTATATATTCTGACAGTACATGAATTTTTAGAGATTTAATAAATTTTTTTAAAAAATCATGTAGTTTTATTATACAGTAGCACTAATACATTAAAATTAAATGCGAAAAATATGCAATATGTAAAATAAACAAACACATTATTTTAAGCTGTCTCAGTAATAAAATTAACGTGCATATTAGTCATAATAAATAAAAAATAAGTAATACATAAAAAAATATGCAAATACCATCCTTTTCCATAAGCACAGTTTTCCTTTGGCGTGTTTTTTTCTTAGTGGAAATTTTCACATCTATATTTTGACTAGAACTATTAGAACCACTGTCACCTTTCACGTCCCCATCATCAGGAGCAATTTTGTTATCAGTATCACAAGCATGACTTTTATCATCTTCACTCTTTTCCTTTGATCGTTTAGCCCACTTACGAAACTTCTTCTCTTTCCTACTTTTGTCATTTTTGGAATGCTGCATGGCTTCTTGATTGCGGCGACGCTGTTCCTCCATTGCTTCTTCGTAAGTACGCTCCCTCATACCAAAGGCGGATATCAAATACACAACAGCAGCAGAGATTACAAAAACTCCACCACATATAAAAACAGTTTGTATATCCATGGCTGATGTAGAATTTGAAATAAATGAAAGAGTGTCCTTGATGAAGGAGTCAAAGATGTAAGTAACTGAGGGCGATAACATACTAAATTTAAAGAAAAGAAATATTTTATTGATTTTTTTAACATAAGATTTTCTACCATTTTTTTTTTTAATCAGAATACAGTCACAAGAACATCACACATTATGGCAGTATTTCTTTTTTTTTTTTTTTTAATCCAGGGTGGATGCAGAATTCGAAATAAATAAAATTGTATCTTAGATAAACTAGCCAAAGATGTGAGTAACAGACAGCAATACAATAAATTTAAAAATAAAATTATATTTTATGGATTATTTTTAATGTAAAGTATTTTAATCTTTTTTGTTAAAACATAATCTAAAGAACCACAAGTGCATTACACATTAATATTATGGCTGTTTGTACATCCATGGCAAATCAAAAACTATAAAAAAATCATATAAGAAACTACATTTTAATGATTTTTTTAAAATGTGATATAGTTAATTTAAAATTAAAATCAGATAGAATCACAAAAATTCCACATATTGTAAAAGTTTGCATGTTCAAAATGAATGTAGAATATGAAGGAAAAAATGAAATAGTATTCTTGAAGAAAAGGTCATAAATGTGAGTAACTATACTAAATTCCATACAACATAACAGTTTAGATATAGCCGTGACAAATTTAGAGTTTTAAAATAAATTAAAGAGTATCTTTGAAAAATATGTTAAGATATGAAAAACGGGTGTTGATTTACTAAATTTGAAGGAAGATGGGGAAAAAATTTTCAAAGTAGAAATTAGCCACATTTTTGAAAAAATCCCAATATATAAGGGTTATTAGAAAAGGTACTTTTAGGAGTTGTTAGCAATGCTTTAATCCAAATTAATAATGTCGAAGCAAACATGTAGCAAATATATAGCAGACATGTAGCAAACTTATATATTTAGTTAACCACTTTTAATTTGTTTAAGTACCATTTATGCTTAAAAATTCGAATTTAAAATAGGTAAAAGATGCAAATTCAAAAATATACAAGACCTACATTCTAAACTCCATTAAAAATCAATATTATTTCTCTAATAAAAAAATATTAAATTTATAGATAGTTGCAATTTTTATCAATCTGACACACTTTCTTTTTTTTTACTTTTTTTTCTCCAGCTATTGTAATTTTGGCATAAAGAAACAGTATTTTTGCAAAATATATGTCTCTATATGTTTATTAAGTCATGATCTTGACTCAATCTTGACTTGATGAGACTTGGAATTGTTACTGCCTTGCACTAACAATTCCAAGTCTCAAAATACACAATTGTGTTTTCTAAGAAATTATGAGTGTTAAGTAATTATGCTTTTGGAAATTATCTCTTGCAAAGTAGTTTCTGTAACTATTTATGATTTAACCCTTTTGCGTCTAACGGGACACATACGTCCCAAACAAATTTTTAAAAAATCTTTTGGGACAGAAACGCTTCTCCGTCTAATGGGAGACTTTCCCACCAGTCCTGCCAATATTTTTGAAGGTATTTTCATTCACAGAACATATATGGTACTACCGTACATAATGCTGCTCTACTCATAGTTTATGCTACCAAAATTATTCTGTTGTAAAAATTTAAAAAAACTCATCGCGAAAGGGCTAAAACACTAGGACACTTTTAAAATAGAATTTAATCTAACTGGGTAGCCATAAAGTTAGCTTGGTTTGCAGAGATTGCACAACAATCTTTCAATTGGAGAAATTTAGAAAACTGGGAGTGGAAACAAATAGTTATGATACTAAACCAACTGTGGCAATGATTAATATACCTTCTACATTAAAAAAAAAATTAATATAAGAATGTTTATTGCCAAGAGAAGTTATAAAGAGCCAAAAATTTCATACGATCATCTTTAGTAAAAATCTTTTTTTTTTTTAAGATACTTCTACCATGTTAGTCAATTATTATAATCACATCAAAGAACCTTTATAAATTAGCATATTTTATAAACTAACATATTTAGACTTTGTAAAAACTAATTTCAAAGTTAAACTTTACTACAAATACAGTAGGGAACCGATTATCCGGAACGGTCGGGACCATCGCTATTCCGGATAACTGATTTTTCCGGTTTTCTGAATCGCTACAAAAAACGTTTTTTTATTGTTAAACCCAACTAAAAAATATATATATTTGGAAATAATCTTAAAAATAAGATAAAACGATGATTTTGAAAATACCACACTGATGATTATTTCCAAAATGACGGTAAGGTAAACATCTTTCAAAAAAGAAAGAAAAATCCTAAAATCCTATGAGGAAAAAAAACAACATTTTTTTTAAAAATGGCGGGAAAATTTATCGAATTTCGTTCCGGTTTTTTGGTCTTCCGGTTTTCTGATTTCCGGATAACGGGTCCTGCACTGTACACTAAAAGCTAAATTAATTGGTACTTTTACACTTTATTTTAACTGTTATAATTTAAATTTGGCTTTTAAATTAAATATGAGCAACATTATTTAATTTACAAAAAGGTTTAAAAATAAAATTGCTGTTGGATTAGAACAATTTGAAATTAAATATTCTGGAAATAATAAAAGTTCTGTAAATTTCAAAAAATGTATGTCCTCTTTGATCTTAAGTGCTTTACAAATGTCAAGTCATAATTAACTGACTATGTTGAGTTTGGTTTAAGGATATCTACATTAATTGTCCATAATTAATAAGCAACTTTTTTTTAAAATTATTTTACACTACCTCTCCTTTTTTTCTATTTTAACTCTGATCCTTCAATTCCCACAAAAAGTGGAGAAAATTATAATATTGATACTTGTTTATGCAAACTACTATTGCCAAGGTACCATCAAATTTCAGTACTTGCAAAAAATTTTAAAAAAACATTGCAATGGTTTGTCAGTTATGGTAACGGTTCTACCCTTCCAGATATACTTACCTTTCGGTGATGTTTTCTTTTTTTTTCTTTCCAGTTTCTTGTGTGCTACTGACCGATTGTCATTAAAATTTCATGACTTTTTGCTGCAGGTAGCAATACTGAAATCTTCCCAAAAACTGTAATCCACACATGAAGCTTTGCACCTTTGATTCGTATGTGGCAGAATGGGATTTGTTATCTACATGCTACAGAACTTGAGGAGAAAAAAGTACTTAGACCCCAAAAAAAATAATAATTCTCCCTTTTTTAAACAATTGCTTCTAAGAATCTTGATTCTATAAATTAGGGACAATAATTTTATTAAAAAATAGTTTTAAAATGTTTGGATGGAACATATGATTCTGTTCTAACCAAGCAAGAGATTTTAAAATCCAATATTTTTTATTGGTGTCAGTCTCTGAATTTCATTTTTTAAACATGGATAAAGTTAATTTGAACAATTTACTCACATTTAAATGAATGACAATTTAATGTTTCAGCAGAAATAAGTTGATACAAAACTCTTTATTGGAAAATTGCTCTCACAGATGCACCTAAATCGTAGAAGTTCAAACAATTAAAACACATAGACAAAAGAGCATTTTACTATAGTTAATAAATACACATACATTTGGAGAACAAATATAATGAAGTTTTCAGTAGTGGCATTTTCCTAAATGGCATTTAGGAAAATGCCAGTACAGAATACTTCATTATATTTGTTCTCTAAGTGTATTTATTAACTATATAAATTAGCATACCATATATAGATATACAGATTTAACAAAGTAGTCAAATAGATAAAATTTTGATAACAAAGTTTTTATTCCTCATATTTTTTTTTTTTTTTAACAAAATACTAATGGGTTAAAAAAGCAAATACTAAATGCCAGTACTAAAATGAAACAAGACATATTCTTTCACTTACTAATGCATTTTATCACATTCTACAAACAGAAAATCTTTAATGAAAAAATTGTTATGAAAATCATGCTTTCTTGGGAATGTTTTTATCCATACAGATATAAAAAGAGAAAAACAGCTATTATGACACAAACAAATAATGAAATTAGCAAAATATATTATTCCAATTAAAAGTACAATATCTGATTAAATTTGTTTACTAATGAAAAATATTCAGGCTTCTAGAAAGATAAATGAACTCATACTAATAAATTTTGATACATTTTGCAAATTTTTATTTTTTTTTTGTAAAAGAATTTATGAATGCAGCTTTGAATTTAAGAAGAAAAAAAAACGTTCTTTTGGCTTCTAACTGAAATTAAGAGACACGACATAGTAATTAATCATGAGTATACTTAGCCGGGGGACTGTCAATATATGGCCCTCTCAATAATTAGATATCTTTAAAAGTTCCCCTCAATATTTCAGACAAATAAGCAAAATTTTCATGAACACTTATTGATATAGATTCATCATAGTTAAAAACAAAAAAGATATTAAAAATAAAATAATCTTTTTGCAAATGTAAGAATTTTTTTTCTTGTGTGTGAAGACCATTTTGACAGAATTTTATTTTCCTCTCCCTAAAAAATTGAACCCCTGAGACGCTCATACATTTAATTAAAAAAAGTAAAAAAAAATTATGGAAAATACACACAATAAGTTAGATGAGACATGTGGTTTCATATCACGAATTTCATTTTAAAAAAATGGTTCAAATTCAATAATTATAAAATTTACCAAGTTTACAGTTAATTATAGTTCTAATAATGCCCCCTTTTTAGGGAAATCAAAGTATCACTTCCGATTCATTTTGTATTTCTACAAATTTATTACTTCTACAATTATTATTAAGCCGGCCAGGTGGCCGAACGGTCAGCGCTCCTGACTGTGAAGCCAATGGCCGCGGGTTTAAATCCCGCTCTGGGCATGGATGTTTCTCTCTCTTGTGTTCTCCTCTGTTATGTGTAATGAGTGAATGTGGCCCACCCTATGAACGGGTTTGAGGCAGTGTGGCGTGGGCAACGTTACTCGCCTCCGTGACTTTGATTCTCAGGTGCCCACTGGGTAACGCGAAATGAAGAACAACTCTGACATCTTCAAAGGCGAAACGAATAAAGATCAGAGCCTGCCATTCGGGGAAAAAACAATTTTCATTAAAAATTTTAACAAACTTTAGTTGCAAATTTAATATAAATATTTATAAAATATCAATAAATTAATTTAGATTTAAAGCTCGATAAAGGTAATAATTTTCAGGATGCTTTATAATTAGAAACATCAATGTTGTGGAAGTTCGTTATCTACTTAGTAATTACAGCTAATTAATGATTTATACTATTTTAATCATGCTAAGTCATTTTGCTTTATCAAGAACGTAACGATAATGAATAAGTTAGTCAGCACTTTTCTCTTCGATGTGTATGAAATAATTTATGCAATATCACTTATTTTAACAAAATAATTAACAACAAGTCAAAAGAAATATAAATTGTGGCACTTTAAATGACAATTATTGAAAAAGATAAAAGAAAATTGAGATTTCAGATGCGCATTAATATATTTTAAGCGTGTTCGAAATATAACCGCATCAAAATTATCAATATTATTGTTTACATTAAAATAGAACATAACAGATTCAAAAAAATGAAAAATCATCATTAGTTTTAAATAGAAATAATTACTAATGCACGCTTTTCACGCCGGCAAATGTTTTGGATTAAACTCTCTCCCGCGGATAAACATTGCAGACATATGCCTCGATTGGACAAAGTTAATCACGTGATTTAGTTTTTCTCAGAAAACGAAACTAGCTTGTTATTCTTCGGTTTCATTAATTTATTTGTTTTTGATTCTTGCTGTGATGTTTAAATTGTATTAAATTTTATTATTTTCTTACATAATTTATTGACACAATCAAGAAAGAAGAAGTAAACGGTTGCTATTTACTTAAAAAATAAGATATCTCTTCATCGAAAAGATGAAACGATATGAAATGCCAATCGCAAAAAAAGATGTTTTACACGTGACACTATTTCACCAATCGCACGCCTTATAAATACCTCCTGAAAAAGTTGAGATGTGCTAGTGAAGATAGAGCTCCTCAATACTCTTAACGGAACAGTCGAAACTGAAACCGCCGCAGCCTTCTAAGGTCGCACAACATTAAATTTTTTGTTTTTAATTATTACGGGTCTAGTAATAAAATGTATACTGTTTCTAATAGTTCAAATAGACCTTTTAAACTTCTTGCAAATACTCGTAGAGGTAAATTGCTTATAATCATGAAAATTCCTCTGTATAAATGTAATAAAAAATTCAATTTGATTGTGCGTAATTTATTTTATAGGCATCTCACAAAAAGTTGAACCACTTGAGTCTGCAAGTAGTAATCGTGAATCTACGAAATGTGGTCCTCAACCAGAAATCAGGTATCAATGTGCAAATATTTTGTTTTTCCTGTAATTTTATTTTTCGTTAATTTTAAAAAATTTCAGAGTTAAAATTACTTATGCAATTGTTCAAAATATTACATAATGAGGAAATGTTTAAATTTATTGACCTCGATTAGAGTCATCACTAAACAAGACGAATTTGCGTAATCGCTCGGTGAAAAACAAGTTTTTCTTTTTAAAATAATTTAAATTCTTTTCATGTTTTTTTTTTTATTAAATGCAATAGTTTTTTCTTTTTCTGAGAAGCTGGAAGTTACTAGTGTAAAATCTGTGTAACTATTTTTGCAAAATCATTTTTATTATGTAAATTTATATTATGTGTGATATCTATAAATAAAATTGAATTGTTTCATAAGTAAAGTGCCATTGGTAAAAAATTTTTATTATTGAAATCGTGACTTTATGAAAAATTCTTATTATGCACTGAATTTTATTCTGCCTTCATGCAATTTTGACTTATAGATTTTTGCAAAATTTCTAAAGGAAGTTGTTTTTGAAATTTTTTTAAATATTGCATCATAATTTTTGCCCGCCATCAAAATTATCACCTAACTCAAAAAAAATTCAAATGTATCTATATGTTTAGTTCTAAATAATTTTCTATGCATTGCAATTAGTTTATCTGTTTCAGAACTAAATCTACATAATCCTTGTAAATTTTTTTTTGTTAGCATATCTCATGAGGATTTTTTACCTGTATATGGATACATGCAGGCATACCACTTTTCCGTGGATCTTTGTAATTCCACTTTATTCGCCTGTTTTCCATCATGAACTTGACAAAACTCTTTATTAATCCTTAAATCAGGGTTCGTGATTTTTTTTCTCATTTAAATCTGATTTTTTTTTATTTAAATCAGATTTTTTATTCAAATACATTGTAGGAACTTTAATTTATGATTAAAAAAACTTTATAAATATTTAAACAAAATTGAATTAATAATAAAACAATATTATAACAATATTTTAGAAGCTCTAACTTACAAAAATAATTTTTCATTATAATGCACAGCTTTGAAGGCATAACAACCATTTTGAAACAAATGCATAATTGAAATTTGAAGACTAGATGAAATAGAGAATTTAATGAATACTTCGGGGGTCTGTCTAAGTTTTTCTGAGAGGTACTTATTTTGCAAAAATTTAGACACAATTTGTGAAAATTAAAAATAATATTAAAAAATCAACACAAAAATATGAATTTATCATTTCTTATGAGACACAAAAATAAAATTTTAAGAAAAAGTATTTTGTGAAACTACCATTTTTCCTAAAGTAGTAGGTAATTTGTGAAGGTACCACTAAGCGGTAGCAAATTTAGCTTGGACAGACTCTTTAACTATTTAAACAAAGTTTCAATTAGCAAACCATAATTTTAATTTGAAATTGTGATTTTTTTTTTCTCTTGATTTTTAATATGATAAAATAAATGTAACAGATTGTGTTTATAAATGTAGTCATTCATCGAAAAATAAATAAATATTTAATCTGTCTATTTTTATATTAAAATATTCATTTTTAATCCTATATCAAAATAGATAAGATAAGCTAAAAAAAATTTTTTTTTAAATCTATGTACTCATTGGAATTTTTTTTCCACAAAATTTCTTTATGGAAAATCTGATAATGTCGAAGATACTGTAAACATATTATGAGAAAAAAATACTAGTTAATAACTCTACTGCCTCAAATGGAGTTTGAAAGGGAAGAACGACACTATATCAGGAAAAAAATATCTGAATTCATTAGCCTTTTTTTAAGCATTTTTTCTTGTTTGCTTCTATCTCAGTTTCCCATCCCTAAATTTTTCGTACGCAAGACGAAGAGTAATTAAAATAATAAAAGTTAACACATTTTTTGTTACTACATATTGTTTTTTTAATCATTTTTGTATTTCTTTTTATTGTTCGTTTATTTAAAAAACGTTTAATAAAAGGGAGCGGTTCGGAAAAATGAGTTAAAATTGTTTGCAGTATGGATATAGTGAACTCCCGGTTATAGTGAGCCAAAATTTCAGTCCTTGAAGGTTTGACTGTATTATGTTATCTTGAATTTTATTGTTTATTTGTTATTCCAAGTTTAAGTTATAATGAAATTTTAAAAGTCTCCCTTCAAGTTAATGATATCAGAGTTTGACTGTATTTGTCTTTAAAAATAAAATTTTATTTAATTTTTTTTTTTTTTAATATATTTTCAAATAAAATCCTAAAATTATTAGATTTAAGTTAAAGTATGCAAACAACTAATATTTTTCTTTCAAATACCTCACAGAACATAAAGATGTAACAAATAAATGTTTTCTTTATATTAAATGGATAAAAACCTATTAAGCAGTTATCTTTTGTGATTTTAAATTTTCAAAATCTCTAGTTGTAGTTTAGTACCTATTGTAAAATAATTTATGTAAATTAAGTTAGATAAAATGGTGAATTTTTAAACTCAGAATAGGAATGAGCATTTTTAAGATCTGTAAGGTAAAGAATCTTCTGATTATTTATGCTGTTTTAAAATAATTTAATTTGATTAATTAGTTACTTAAAATTTGTATTCTCAACTAATTCGATAAAAACTTTTGCATTCTCTTTTTTTTGCCTAACAATGTTTTTAAACCTTGAATAACAATGATTTAGTTACAGTGGTAACTATGAAATTAATTTTTGATTTAGCGGCATATTCATACATTTAGCTCTAAAATTTGTCTGTTTTATATATTTTTATATGAAAAATTGATGAATATTAAGGTGAAGAATGTTAACAACTAATAACTTTTTTGAATTTTAAAGGAAAAAAACATATTGAACATTTTACTCAGTGATTTAAATTTTGCTTCAGCTTAGTGAAGATCATAGAATTTTCTGAGTACCTAGTTATATATATCAGTCTGCCAATTCATCAAAATGAGTCATTGAATTTTAGTAAAAATATGAAATTTTTCTTACATTGTACGTTAAATTTTTTTAGTATAATATCTACCTATAATAAGAATGTTAATCATTATTTTTACTGAATTATTTTTTACTTGTTCTAATATCTAGTTTACCTAAACCTGTATTTAATCACCAAGCCAATGGAAGAAGAACACAAACTTCAAAAAATCATCAAGCATCAGAAAATTATCCTCCACATTATGAAGAATTAATTAAATATGTTAGTGATTGTAAGTATAATTATATCTGTTTTAACTACACTTTTGTGTTATACTTATGTTAGGTGTGCACCAACTGTACTCTGGAAGCTATTTACAACCATAAAATAATCAATCAATCTGCAGCCCTTCTGAAAAGTAAATTTTTGAAAAGTACGTAACTAGCATAAAATTTCATGACTGTGACTTTAAAAATTAATTACAATTGACTTTTAAAAAATAAAAGCACTGAATTTATAACATTAAAACTTCAAAATCCATACTATTTTAAGGTGCCAAGAAAATTTTGTTTTTTAAAACATGCTCTGAACAAATGTGGTGCAAGGATTTATTTAAAAATGACAATGTAAGTAATTTTTATGTGGAAAAAATAATCAAATTAATTTTTCTTTAAAAAAAATTTATAGCTTATTAAAATTTATTTTGTTAGGTGTGGCAAACTTCAAAAGTTTTTCAGTTGAAAATATGATAGGGTGACCCGGGGTAATTCACGATCACTCTGTTTCTGGGGTAAATAATGATCACCTAAGTTTTATTTTTAAAAAATAATTTTTTTTTAAATTTGAGACATGGACAAGAATGCTTGTACACTTTACTAAAGTATAACTACATTTACTTAATAATAGTTTTTTGTTTAATCTAACAAAATAAGTATCTTTTAAACTGCTTTCTGTATTTTCCATTTCAAAGATGGGTTTCAAAATGTGCACATTTCTGCAAAGATCCCCCTCCTTCTCTTAATAATAAATATTTTGAGTTACTTTCTTTTTCTTTGATATAAAAATAGTGTAAGCTTTTGTTTAATTGTTTCACATCTACTGTAAACATTATAATTGATTATAGGAAACTATATCAAATGTTGCCCCCTACAGATGGGGTAATTATTGATCACTGGGGTAATTCCTGATCACTGTCATTTCTTCTTATAAATAGTATATAAAATAGCTAATAAATAGCTAATTGTCTTTTCTTAAATAACAGTTCATATTTATTAAGTGGAACAACTATAAAATATATTTTAACTGTCATCACAAAATTTGTTTTTAACGGTATACAAGACTGTATTCTGATTTGCACCATTTCTGGTTTGTCATACCTTGCTTCTATCTTAATTTTATGTGTGTACATTGTTAGAATAATTTTTAAGTTTATAAATTAGCTTAGTATAAATATGGTGAGAAATTATTAGCCTAAAAAGGATACTAAGCTTCTAGAAAGCAAAATTAGTGAATTTCTTTTAATGATTGAAAATGAAAATTTCAATGTGAGAGCTGCTGCCAGAGCTGTTGAGTTGACATACCTTACTTTACTTTACACTTTCACTTAATGAAGTTAAAAAATCCAGCAAAAGTAACCCATGAGGGAACTCTCTTATATTTCAGCAGAACATGAGAATGAGTTGGCTGATTGCCTAAAATGTATGGCATGATGCAAAGATTTTTGGAAAATTTAAAGTGTTAATCTTTCTTCTTGCTTTTAAATAAATAGTTTTATTAGCTGCTTAAACATATCTTTTTGGTTTATTTGTTTGATCTTGATGTCTTATTTGTTAATTACCATTATATAATTATTTTTAAACAGCCCCTTTACAATAAAAACTGGTGATCAGTAATTACCCCAGAAGTGATCAGGAATTACCCCAGAAATGATCAAGACCAGGGGTAATTCCTGATCACTAAAAATTTAAAATCTTTTAAATTCTAATTAGATTTTCAAACAAAAGAAGGAGGCATAGGACTCATCTCATATAGCCTCAAACTTCCAGTAAATATTAAAATTCTATCTTCAATAGTTTTTTCACAAAATAGATGTTTGCATTTTTTGATCAGGAATTACCCCAGGTCACCCTACCCTTAGTCTTTTAATTTTTTAAGTGAAATTTATGTTGTTCTTATTACACTGAAGAATAATTTTGTTATTTTCATTTGATATAAAACTGAATTTGTTTCTGTCCTCAAAAGCCAAATATATATATATATATATATATATTTCCTTTAGTTTTTTAAAAAAAGAATGGAAAAATTTTACTCTTATTTTTTGTGACATGTTAAAGAAAAAATTTGTTAAGATCAGTTTTAAGTGGCATAGAATTTTATTATTATTTTATGAAAGTTATTAAGTAAGAACATTTTCAATAGAAACTTATTTTATAATCACTTTCTTGATGTGTCCATACATTCTTGTCAAAATGTTATTTTTTTCCCCTAAAAAAATTCTTTAACTGAACGTTTTTTTTTTTTTTTTAAACTTTTCTATTGGTACTATACTTAATAATGTCTAAAATACTTGTTAAAGTCTTTGTTTTCATTATACATTTCTATTCAATTCAATTCAAAAGGTCATTGGGCTATCGAAGCGGGGGTGCCATCCCCTCTGCAGAGGATCAAAATTGTGATGGCATGTCTTCGGATCATCCTCAGGGATGTTTCCCAGACCGTCGCCAATAGCCCATTGTGCAGCTCTAGTGCGACGTAAATGAACAACAACAACTATTCAATTCAATGTTTTCTATTTAATTTTCTATTAATTTTATTTAATATACACTATCTTGCAGAGATTATTGTTGTAAAGATTCAGCTTTATAAAACATACTTTATTTGGAAATTATATTTAAAAACTCTGTCGTTCAAATTAAAGTTGAATTTTATACATATTCAACTAACATTGATTTCATAAACGATTGATTAACAAAACACATAATTTAAATATATCAAGTTATTACACGACTTAAATATAACCCAACTGTACAAAAAATAGTTTTTACTTAACTACAACTTTTAGAATTTTATGTCACATTCATTTAATATATGTATTTAATTTTTTAACAGTAAACAATTTTGAAAGTTATGGTTAAATTTCTAGAAAAATTTTGTAAACATCTATACACTTAAGTCTGCAATCAAGTAACAGAGAAAAGATTCTTTGCTTTTATTTCTTTGTATTTAAAGACATTTTTTAAAAGGCTTTAGACTGTCAAATTATTGTTTTGTAATCAGTTTATTTTCGTTTTTATTGTTCTGTGAATAATTTAATACAGTAGGGAACCGATTATCCGGAATGATCGGGACCATCGCTATTCCGGATAACTGATTTTTCCGGTTTTCTGAATCGCTACTAAAAGCCGTTTTTTTATTGTTAAACCCAACTAAAAAAAAATATTTGGAAATAATCTTAAAAAGAAAAAAAAACAATGAAGTAATACAGTAATGATTATTTCTAAAATGATGGTATGGTAAACATCTTTCAAAAAAGAAAGAAAAATCCTAAAATCTTATGAAGAAAAAAAAAAATCTTTTTTTAAAATGGCGGAAAAATTTATCGAATTTCGTTCCGGTTTTTTGGTTTTCCGGTTTTCTGATTTCCGGATAACGGGTTCTGTACTGTATTTGAACAAGCTATTTTTGTAAATTAACTTTTAATTTTTTTTTTATTTAAAGCTTGGGATAGTGTTCAAGAAGAATATGAGTGCTCTAAACAATCAACTGATAACAGAGGTAATTCTGTATTTGATTAACATGTTTAACTCTAAAAAATTTTCTATCTTGTTTTTTTTTTTTTTTTTTTCCTTTAAATTTTACTCACACAGATTTTTTTATGCTAAGTGGTGATTAGAATGTTGTATTAAATAGATATTAGAACCAAAACAATTTAATCAAGAAATAATTTTTATTTAAATGTAAATTTACATTTTCAATCATCAATGAACTAAATTAAGCTTTCACTAGCAATGTGGGGGGTACATTATGGACCCCACTGCAATTTTCTATTGAGAGAGAGAGAATAAATTTTTTTAAATAGCTAACCTTCTTTATTGGTAAAGATGTTTATTATTATTCTGTAAACTATCATTCTATAACATTGATAAAAATAGACAGATAAGAAAATAATAAAAAAAATTTAAGCACAAATTAGGTTTATTATGGACCCTACATAAAATTTAAGTTCCAAATTTTGTAATATTTTAAGCTATGTTAATATTTTATTTAATAATAATAAGCGAAAATATGGTTACTTATACATGTGGTCAACTATTAAAAATAGTTGTCAAGAATAAAAATAGAAAATTAAAGAAAGTCTATAATGCACTCCAGTTTTCTATTCTTATTCATTGTCAATATTTTGCTTTGGAATTTAAATAAGTAAAATGTATTACTGGTACTCAATTCGAAAATAAATTTATTAAGTAAAGTTAAATTTAAAAGATTCTAGAAAAAAATTTTAATACTAAACTATCATTTAGAATTTAAATTTTTTCTCATATAAATTTTCAACCTATATGTATTTCAGTAATATGTCCCAAAAATTCAATATCCTTTAACATTCAAAATTATGAATTTATAATTACAATAAACTTATTAATTTGTATTAAACCCATTTGATGTTAACACAAGTAGGTCAGTTTAAATTAATAGTTTTTGGCGTAATATAATATTCCTCTTTGGCACAACAGCTCAGGGGACCTTTGACTTTCTCATGAACATTTCTGCATGCAGGTCTACGCATAATATATCTTTCTTATTTTATTTCCAGTTATTAATCACAAAATATTCCTAAAATTCCATATATTATACATTCCTATAATTCCATATATTGTATTGTAAGTATATCTATTTGATTTTATACATCGCGCAATAGTTTTGCATAAAATTTTTATCATGTCTTTGCATCAACTGACTTTGTTATCTTTTGTAATAGTACTCGTGAAAAAGTTCAATTGAAGTAATATTTACATACCATTGGGAATTTTTATTTGTACTTAGTTGCATTAAATCCTACATCACAAAATAATTTTTCTTGTAAAAAATTTAAATATGCATCTTAAAAATTCAATTACTTTCTCTATTTTTCTTTCAAATATATTATGTTTTTGTAATTACCTATTTAGTTAAAATATTTCTCTTTTTTTTTTCCTTTAGTGCCTAGGGTTGTTTATTACCAAGACAATAGTACAAATTCACATCTAGCTAGTAAGTAAATTCAAGTATTTAAATTTCCAACTTAATGTTATTTTTTATTCAAATTTTTTGTATTTGAAAAATTAAAATATGCTGTTGTTTAGTTTAAAATTGAAAATTCCTTGAAATAAAATAGCATAAGTATTAAATTTCTGATTGTAAGAATGTGATGTTTCAATTGTTTTTGTTGAGTATCATTTAGAATACGTTTTAAGGTTCCTTTTAAAGCACACTACGACAAAGTTTTTCTTTTCCTTCCCCTTTATCAAGACACTCCTATTTATTTATTGCTAGTAATTAAATTATCTTATTTTTTTAAGGCTTTATTTAAAAAAATTCATGTAATTCATTTTGAGAATAAAAGAAATCATTCATTTATCAAAATTTTTTAATCTAATAGTTAATTGTGTTTTATAATTTCTCAAGATAAAGAGATTTTTTTGTCTGTACATACCCAAGAATTCCAACTATCTCTGTGGTTTCCCATAGAGAATGAAATTTAATTTGAAAGAAAAATATGACCAGTATTCTACTTACTGAAGTTTGCAATGTGAAATAAATTTATTATACTGCATTATAAATATTGTTCATATAGTCTTTCTTAATGAAATATTTTTAAAGAAGTTCCATTTTAATTATTTTTACCACAATTTAAAATTTTTTTGTAATGATTCTGTATGGTTCATTTTCTAAAATGTTCTTTTGTTTAGAATCTGAGTTAATATAAATATTATTATGGCTTTTTCTTTTATTATGCTATTTTCATCTGATCAAAATAAACGTTTCTCAGTATACATAAGCATTTTCTATTTTTGAGATTTATACCAATTTTATATATGTAATTTTAAGTATGATTTAGTTTTAAAGTCATTGTTAAATATGATTTTATTTCAAAACTCAGGCAAAACTTAACAATGGTAAATTTTCTGTGTTTAATTATCTTTTATTAATTTACTAAGGAGAACAATGGGTAAATTATAATATTTTATAAGATCGACAAAATTGCTCTCTTTTCAAAATCTATTACAATTACTTCACTATACATATCATGAAACAGCATAATTTATAATATTGTATTACATCAGGGTTTCCGCTACGGTAGCTTTTTTCGCAAAATGCGAAAAGACCCCTCAAAAATGCTAAAATTCAACAAAGCATTTTCGCATTTTTGCTAAAGGATTTTACTAAATTCCATTAAAAAAAAAGCTTCCGCGAAAAACCATGACGCTAACATCCATGAAAAAAACTTGATCAAACAAGAAGGAGAAAAAATCTAAATATCTTTCGCAAGAAGAACCATGACGCTAGCGTTCACGAAAAAAACGTGATCGTGAAACGTGTTATAGAGTATTGTGCAACAATACCAATGCACACTGTTGACTGTGAAAGGGGCTTTAGCTGCCTTAATTTGATTAAAACTAATATTCGAAACAGGTTGTTAATCAACCATGTAAACAATTTGTTAATGATTAATATTGAGGGCCCTGAAAGTGCATTTAACNTCTCAATGATTTTTGTTATAGGTATTCTTTTTGATATTCTTGTACATTAAGCTATTCTTTGTCAGATAACTTACAGTACTTGTTTGATATAAAGTAATTTTATAAGCCTAATGGCATTTTAGCATTTTGCTAAAACTTTTTTTCAGATTTTAGCTTTTTCGCTAATGAATTTTTAGACTCAGCTTAAACCCTGTATTACATATACCAATTTAACATCTTATTTAAAGAGAACTAAAAGGAGATTGACAACGTTTTCTCTATAATTTTCAAATACTTGTTTAATAGTTTTTGCTAGTTTTGTTTTTATTATACAGTGTTATTTTTCATACTTCAAAATGGAATAAATTCCAGTTTTTATTTTTCTGTGAGCAGCCTTGTATTATTTTGTGATTATTTATATTCTTTTTCTTTCTCTCTCATAGATTTTGAACCATTTGACCTGGAGTCATTCTGGGGTGAAAGATTTCTTCAGAATATACAACAGTCTACATAATTAGAATGCTATGTAGAAAATTCAGACAAATTTAGTGAGATAGTGAAATTAACTAATAGAGAATAGTAAGATGGGAGTGCTTCTTTTTTATTTAGCATTCCATTCATCCTAAACCCGAATAAACTATGGATTCATTTTCTTCACATTATTTTAGCCCTTTGAACAAGAAGTATTTTATATTAAATCAAACATGACTCATTAAAAAAGGCGCTTTACATTATTTCTTTTTATTTATAATTTTACATTTTGTGCAATCGTTTGACAGCATAGAAATTTCTGATCTGTGATCTTTCTGTAAAATATATGAATTCATCAATCTCAGCAATAAAACAGTTTTGTTTAAAAAAAATATATATAAATTTTATTGTTTCTTATTATTTGTCTTTTTTTTCCCCTTCATAATTCTGAAAAATCAGAGTAGGGATTTCTTCACAGGATACAGAGAGAAACTGGACAAAATTAAAAAATCACCTATACAATTTATCACTAAAGTGATATGTATTATAAGAATAGTTTAAACAAATAGAATTTAATATTGTAAAAGAAATTTAAAAGCATTTTTCATTTATTTAATAAAAATTATTTTCATATTATTTATTGTAGTTTTATACAAAATTTAAAAATTATTATAATAATTTATTTTTAATATGTATTTAAGTTATCATTATTTCCCTAAATAAATATAAAAGTTCATACCCGAATTATTTGTTCTTGCATTATATTTTTAATTTATTAAATATTTGTTTTAAGATAAAATTATTTATAAAAAATATTACTTTGTAAAATATTAATCAAAAAGTGATAATTTGAAAAAAATACATTCTTTGTTAAGGTTATTCTGTACTCGTTAAACTTTTCCCTACAAACTAAAGCTAGCAAATATAAAAGTTATAGTTAGTAAATCCTAAACAAAATGCTTAAAAGTTATTAAAATGTGAAAAAATAACAGATTTAGGTATAAACTTTTTACTAAAATTTTATTTTTTTTAAATAAATAGTTTATTTTCAAAATTTATTAATTTACTAATAAAAATTTAGTAATGTGTGTATAAAGTTCCCAATTAAAAATGCTTAGGTTTTTCCACAAATTATAATTAACGAATTATTTTATAATCAGATATGCAAAAATGAAATTGATATTAAAACTACCTTTAGCATATTATTTAAGACTTATTTATAATATTCATACTTTACAATATTTTATTAAGAAAATTAGTGGGCACTTTCTTATTATGAATAAAATTCAGACTGGAGTTTATAATACTTCATTCAATTTAAGGGTAAACTTTTTTCATTGCATATATTTCTAATTGCGTTTTAAAGCGTTGAAATTGATGCTCATTATATACATGGTCAATTGATACTGTATATATACATGGTTCTATATATGCCTTTAATATTACCCTATAATATTCAAGCTTGGTAAGGTACTATATTATTACATGCTATAGCAAAAGTATAAAGGGAATTATTATAAACAAATTAAGGAGGTTACAACGTGGCACAATATTTAAGTATGTATGTATATATTTCACAGTGCATAAAATAATCTTAAAATGAAGAAATTGTTGCTTATATACTGCATACATATGTGGCTTTTTATCTCCCCTTAATATTAACCTATAATATTCAAACTCGGTCAGGTATTAGATTACAACATACTGCACTACCATACCAAAGGAAATAATTAAGGAAAAAAAGATGCATAGAACTTTAAAAGCTGTACATATAAATGGCCCTGTATCGCCCCTCAATATAAAACCATAAACTCGTTCAGATATTATATTATAGTATGCTATACTACCATAGCAAAGGAAATATTTATAGGTAAATAAAGGGGGCCCACAATGTGGCATAATATGTAAGTATGTAGGCATATATTTCTAATGGAAAAATTGTTGCTTATATACTGCATACATATATGGGCCTGTAGATATAAATAGCCCCTCCAATCTCATTAAGCAAATTGTGTGAAATGTGGACACACGTCGGGTAAAAGGATACTATAGCCACTAGTTGTCTAATTTTCCTTCAGGTTCTCCCCGGACCTTTTAAGAGAAAAACTTTAGATAAGATAATCAGATTCTATCAAGAGGTATGACGAATTCTTATGTTAGGTATTCGTAATTTAAATTCACTCAAGTTCAAATTAAAATGATCCACTCAAGGAATACTGATCGTCAATTAAAAGTGATTGAAATTTACTCAAGTTTCAGTTGACTCTTTAACTTGAGTGAGTTTAACTCAAGATGAGAAGGCTCCTTTTTTCCAGACAAATGAGTGAAATTTCCCTGAAGCTGAGTTATTTTAAGTGAGTATTATATATTATTATCTTACTGTAGAAGACAAAGGGGACATTTGAGGGAAATGAAACAGGTTACTTTAAGTATTCATCATCTCTCATTTATGTATTAGTTGGGTTATTCCGCCTATTTCTATAGCGTTTTTTGTTCATTCATCACTTTCTTCTATTTAAAGTTTCTATTAAATGTTTGCCACCAAAAAGAGTTGTTGGTGCTTTCGATTCGCTGGAGTGGCAATTGTTTCCCTGCGAACTTGATCACTATTATGAATCTTGCTGTAATCATTATAGTGATTAATCACTTATGCTGAAAAGATCTGTCACGCACGTCAACATGCTTATGTTCTAAAATTATCAACAACGTGCTATACACGTCGGCAGGCAATTAATTATACCTGTAATTAAAATCGCGTCGCAGAAATAGATTGTTTCGATTTCTATGAGACATCGATTAATCTCTTGCAGTTGACTAATTTGGTATATTTTTATTTTTCTATTGTATGTTTTCTAGTATTTTTTATATAAAGTATTACATTTTTTATTGATATTTTTAATAAATGAAAAACTTATTAACAGTTATTAATAATTAAGCTAAACCATAAAACACCAATTTTCAAAGAGCTAAAATTTTTACTACGCCTTAGCAATTATTTTTGAAAGAATTGAATGTCAATTTTAGAAGTTTTTTTTTTTAATTAATTTTTTTTTTCGAATGAATTCTTGCAGAGTATGGAAAAACAGTTGAAAATTGTTTCTTTAATATTGTTACTGAGAAAATACTAAGTCTGCAATTGGTCGGCTGTAATAGTGTGAGTATTAGAGGATCACCTTAAATCGTAATGTGTAGTTTATTTATCACTATTTCATTACTTTAATTCTAGAATTGAACATGGTCCGATTTTTTTTTTCTTAAGTAATTCAAGAGAACCTCCTCTTACCGCTGAAATCGTGCAAGATTGACCACTGATGTTCCCTCTCCCTCAAATGTCGGACAGTGGTCATAGATTAATTTGGAATTTATATATTCACACACTCTTAATCTAAAAGAGAATTTGAAATAAATCACAGAATTTTCCTTCATTCTCCTCTCCAATTTAATCTCCTGCGTTATTTATCTACTAAAATACATCCTATTCTTACACAAGCCTCAAGGTCGCGTTGTGTAACAATAAACAAACCTTGTTTATAAAATGGTTTTGGCAAACTTTCTTCTCTATTGAATAAATTTGACTTAAGATGCTTTTTTGTTTCCTCATCCATTGCGGATTGACAAGTGAAGAAATACAAATTTATTTTGTTAACACTAGGTTTACGAACGTTTCTTATATACCTATCTCTACGGACACACGTCAATTTGACGTAAGAAAGAATTGTGATTCTTAATTTAATAAATTCAATTTAGTAGATTTTTATACACCACTATTTCTAAATAATTCGTAGACCTATATAATTCACCACTTCATATTTCAAAATTTAATTTGTTGTTATTTACCATTTTTTTTTTTTTAATTATTTTCGCGTGTCCGGAGCAGTTGGCATCTCTGCACTTAGAAACCAATGTATATGTATACTATAAGAAAAAAAATGAAGATATGAGATATATATTTATGAAATATTCTAGTATTTTATGTTTCAATACTCGAACTAAGCAACTGAAACCTTCAAAATCTGACACTCTGACATCAATTGACATTCTGCGTTTGTTCTTTC